CAAAAATATTAAACACTATTTATTAAATTGTTTATCAAGAAGAATAATTTTATATTTACAAACTTCTAAAAACTAATGCAATGCAATATTTGTCCGTTACCAATTTATACAGAAATATGAAACATGGCGTTCTATACTCCAGGCCAAGTCATAGCGCAACTGAGAGCCAGAACTGGAGGCCTATTGAAAAATGTAGGATTTTCAGAAATTTTAGAAGAAAATGAAGTCAACCACTTTATGAAATACTTAGAATAACATTTTTATTCACACCTGAGGATAATAGGATGTGTTGAAAGATAAATAAATGAAAATATGTATTTTTGCTATGAACACTGATAATTATTAAACAACACAAAGGGGTAATTATGATTTCTGGTAATAGATATATTGAATCAGAAATTTATATTATTTACAGGTGTCACTGAATCCTTTATTCAATCTATTCCCTGTGAGTGAATAAAGACTTTGGTTTAAATTTACATTACAGTTACTAGGTTTGACAAACAGAATGCAAGAAGGCTGGAAGACATCAGCCGAAGTGTGTATATAACAATCAATCATCACAGAAATATAGACAAATAAAGCAAAATCATTCTAGGAAAATTTCAAAACTTTTAGAGCTGGTTTTTTTCTGATCTAGGTGTGCCATGTTTGCAAAAATTTTTTAAAACTATAATTGCAAAAATAGAAGCATGCTTTTTCTCCATGTTGAAAAAAATTAAACTCAGAAATAAGCATAAAAATGTTAATGATTTATAGCAAACCTTTTCCTTTATTGTATGGAAAAGGATGAAACAAAAAAATAACCATTGACAAGTGTGGTCAGAAGGAACTTTTACTTTTCCACGGTCAATTAAATTGGTATATTTTCCATACTTTTCATAATAAAAATGGGTTTCACATTCACTGGGTTGATTATCATTTCTTGTAATATATCCACCTATGTACACAAGAGCCATTTTTATTTCATTGGAAAGAGATGGTTCTAAATTTTCCAGATTGTCAAATATTTCTGAACCTTCCTCACAAAGTTTATAATCACAAGATGTACATTGGTGACCTGGATTAACATCAAATTCATCAATATTTACATTTTGATTTAAAAGTAAAGATGTCTGCTTAATATGCAGCTTTTCAATACATTGTTGAACATTTATAAAATAGGTGCCACCTGATCCTTGGCGAAGTTTACCAAATTCTTTTTCTAATGGATCAGTTGAAAATTGCCCAAGTAGTACATATTTATGACTTGCAGCTAAAAGGTGTCGACAGACTAACAATTCCATTGCAAAATATGATGTATGGCAGTAGCAGTGTTTTGGGATAATTGTTTTTTACGATTACCTTGACTGCCAGCCATATGAAGAGCCATTTTACCAAATTCAATGATAAAATCAAGTTGGGTGTCATTTGGAGATTTGATTTCAGCTTGTAGAGGATCATTATGTAATTTATCAATTTGAAGGCATTTAACATTTAAAATTTTCCACCATGTCAAAACCTTGTTTATGAAAGGGCAGTATCATTCTTACCTGCACTTATTTCAGACTGAGTGAGAAGTGCATTTATGTTTTTTCAGAAAATACTCTGAGGCAAGTAGAAACCCGTTGTCTTTATATTGGCTTTGGAGCAATGGAAATTTCATTTAAATCTGAAAGTTTGACTAGTCTTTCAGATTCAAAATGATATAACTGTTTAAGATGTGTCCATTTTGCAACTCGACTTACTCCATCATCATCAAAGATTAGTTCTCCTTTTTTTTCTGTCAGCCACAAATTGAGAATATTTTTCAACAGATGAACATAATCAAAAAGCAAATGTTTATTATCTTCAGTTAACCAAGGTTTTTCAGAAAGTGTAGGATATAATTTAAAAAAAAGCTCGATTTACGCAGTTGCCATCACATATAATAGCCTTTACATCAGCTGGTACAGATGTGATGGCTTGGAGTGTTAACTCAATTTGTTCAAATAAAAAGGCAGATGTTAATTTTGAAATTGGAATCAATTTTGTAAGAAAATTTGAACCCCCATTGAGACATATCAACATTATACCAAGTACTGTTTGAGCAAGTACAGATGGATTGTCAACTGATTTACCAAATAGTTGTTTGCCATGATATAGTAACGTCTTTTTGATATAGACTTCATCATGGAGAATTATGCACCCTTTTTGACTGGTATTAAGAGTATTAAATATAGATAACAAAAAAGATTTTTCATTAAGTTTTGAAACTTTTGACGTCATCCTTCATAATGTTGCTAATGAGGGTAATTGAAAATCATATCTTAATTCATTATACTATGTCCGTGATCTTGCATAGTACCCAAAAGCATGCACAACTATATCTAAGCTGTATTTTATTCCAACCACTTTGGGAGCCATTGCTAAAAATTGTTGACTCAGGATATTTTTCTTGTGATCAAAAGCCATAGAATTTAAATATCAGATGATTTCTTCCAATTTTGACCAAGTATCAACTGTATTTATATGATTTTTGGACAGGCTGCTAATATAACACTTAACTCCATAATGAAATGTTTCAAAGCGCAAATTGTTATAAATTTTCAACATAAAGAGTAGGAATACCATCAATAGATTTTGATAATTGAACAGTTAAAATATTTTCATCCAAAAATGCTACATCTGGACATATAAAGTCTTTTTTGTTGTTAAGCAGACTTTCTTTCAAATTTGTATAATTTTATCTAATTCTAAAAAAGCATTAAGTTCATCAGCAATTTGATTTCTAACAGTACTGGAGGTTTTTTTTTATATTTCTTTGAACAGCTGAGGGTGTTGGTATTTGACTACTTGGCACACCTGGCCATACAGATGGTGGATTTTTTGGACGTATTTTTCCATTAACTTTTATCATAAAAGTTAATGGAAAAATACGTCCAAAAAATCAAAATTTGAAGGCCAATGTTGTTTACTTTAAAACTTTATATTAAATTTAAAAACATTCATAAGTAGCCTTTCCTTTAGTTTGGTTATTTTAATACGCTTTAAACTATATAAATAGGAATATATATAACTTTTTTTTTTACCTTAAAGCAAAACAATTAAAAGTAAAGTAAAAATAGTGCATTTTGTCCTTTAACAACAATATCAGAAAAAAATAAATTTTGTCATCAAAAGGCGTAAAAAAGGAAACCTTAATTAAAATATTGACATTAACTGCATGTAACAAATTTATTATTGTTATTTTTTTCTTTAATTCTAATAAGTAAAGAAATACTTACAGTTCACCAATTGGTAACTAATGTTGTAAAAATAATCATTTATTTTTAACCCGGAAACAAAAAGCCAAGAAATTCGTTTGTTTTGTTTTTTTTTTACTTTTTTTTAATGGAAATGTTGGATAAAGTTTTAATAGAGAATGTTAATGAACCTTTCTCTATTAAAATTTTATTCATTATTCAAACTTAAACTTTTAATAGAAAAATGTTGACTTATGCTAATTTTTTATCATGGTTAAAAACTTGAGAAAATTAAACTTTAATTTCGTTGACGTTATGTTTTCACTCATAACTGTTTTTTTAGCGATATTAAAAATAAATATCAAAATAAGTAATGACATTGAATTTAAAAAAAAAAAAAAAACATTTTTAATCCATTTTATAATAAAAATAGTTTTCTTTACATCTTTGAAGAAACTAAATTAAATTCTGTTCAAATTTGTTAAACGTTGTTTTGTTTTGCTTCTTAAAATAACACAAATTTCTCAAAAAGAATTGCATTTTATCAATAAATAATTCTTTAAACTTTAATCAAAAAATGTTGAACAAACTTTAAGAGGAAAATGCCAAAAATGAATTAAACTTTAATTTAAAAATGTTAGGGCTTTTTAAACTTAAGTAAATCTTTTTTAAAGTTGAGTAAATTTAAGCACCAAAGTTTACTTTTTACAATTTAAATATAAATAATGTATGGGCTCAAACTAAAATAATCAAATATACTTACTTCAAATAAATAAGTTAAATGATATTCCAACCAAAGGTAAAATTAAGATTCCTTTGAATTTCTCGAGCCAATAACATAAGAGTACACAGTACGCAGCAGTTCGCTCAAACAAACTGAAACTAAAATGATCTAATTGTCAGCCGGCCTCCAGTCTAACAAGGTAGCAGCACTACGCAGTGGCCTGTTAATATAGAACACCATGATATGAAAACAATTTTTTATTAATAAATTTATAAGTATTTACTACATTATTAAAATATGTGAACCAACTATAAAGAAATCATTATTTACCATTTTATAAAGTTTGAATCAATTGGCAATTAACCAATGTTTTGCTAACCATTCCAATAAACAATATAATAAATAAATAGTGTAAATAGACAATCCAATAAATAGTGTTTATTATTTTTGTTAATTCTCAAGAACATATTTTGGTTTTATTACAATTCTAATCAGCACTTTTTAAAACAAACACTGCAGAGGAATGAAGGTAGTTAAAATAATAGTAGAGTCAAGGGAAAAGCAGTCATTTTGACACATTTTTTTTTTTTTTTTTGACAAACTTTGACCTCTGTGCCTGCAAAAAAAAACCAAAAAAGTTATGTTTGGTCAGGTTCTGAATGTTAAGTGGGTCAGACTGAGAAAATTGCTCAAACACAATATTACATTCAATTTTTTCTCAAAGAAAGTTTATTAAAAAAAATATATAGAAATAAAAAATAAACAACAAAAGCATAGTTCTATGAAGGCGCTGAAAAGTTCTCATCCCACCCAACTTCTAAAAAGGATTCTGATGTTTGGTGATTGAAATACTGATTTTGAGAAGACGGTTAGAATAAGAACTTTTCCACACCACCTTGTTTATTAATAGAGTAATCAGAGAAAAGCCATTTTTTTCTCTTTTGCACACAAAAAAAGGATTTAGATCTTGGTTACAGTAAAAAGAAACTGAAAATTCTGAGTATTAAATGTCAGGCAATAAAGCAAAGGAGAATTGGTAACTAACTCCGAAAGAACGGAATATGGACAATTGTTTAATGATGAAAAAGCCTCATATTGGTATGAGCTAGAACAATGTTATGGTCATTACAGGCATCAATCACAGCTTGATCATTGGCTGATCCAGCAGGAGACGCAATGAATTCAACCCCACTCTGGAAAGAGAGAAAAATAGATTTTTTAAAAAAGTAATTTTTTTTTTTTTAAGGAGATTAAAAACAAAAAACAAAAAAAAACAACAACATAGATAAAATTAGGATTTACCATATTTCTCAAATGCTAAGATGCATTTCCCCTGCCCTGAAAAATCACCCAGCATTTTAGCACTGAAAGGTCAAGTTGTAGAGAGGAGTTTGCCAACCTTCACAAACCCTAGTCATGAGATACAATTAATCACAAACACCAGACAGTTTTTTTTTTTAAGCATTTCACCCAAAGCAAGGCAGGAGTGCCACTAGTATACAGAGAAAGTGAGAGAAAAGACTGGGTATAGGGATGATTGGGGAAAGGATAAAAGATGAACCGGGTTCAAGTCAACAGAAGATGGCAATTGACATTGTATTTAAATTTTTGAAGATTCTAGTTATCAGGGAAGCAAGTGAACAGTAGGGAGTTTCACAGGAGGGAAGTGCGAGAAAAGGAACTGTTGGAGTAGAAGTGGTGGTTACATTTAACTATTTCAACAGTAAATGGGTGGGACCTACATGCCAATCTAGTAACATGCTTAAATTCATGTTGTTGGAGAACTAGGGAAAAAAAGTTTGTCAGAACAATTACCATGAAAATAAGATGTAAGTCTGCAGTTATCGTTCATATGTAATAAATATCGTATATCCTATTAGTATCATAACATACAATTTTTTTTTTTTTTTTTAATTTGTGGTGGCAAATACAAGTTGTTTCTGATATGAATAAGTATAACATTTTGCTAAACTATTGAAATTCTAATAATAACCAGATATTTAATAATAGACCAAAATTATGATAATTTGTTGTGATAGAAAGAAAGATGACATTGTAAAGTCGGTGACTTGGACTTGCTAGTACAGTAAGTTATTAAATCCTCAGGTTACTTTTTTTTTTTCAAAAAAAAAAAAAAAAAAAAAAAAAAAAAAATACCTAGGTAATTATAATGTGCATCTTACCACTTGTAGCATCTCAATATGTGGAAAATACAATATTTACAGGTATTTGTAGTTAAACTTTACTACAGCAATAAACTTGATAAAAATTGAATTCTTTCCCAGTGGCTTGTGAAACAAACATGCTGATGACTGTATAACAAGATGATCCTTATACGAACCTTCATGACTGTATAACCAAAAATTATCCATATTAGAATAATTTTTTTTAAAGTTCTTTTATTATTGGTTATTATTAATGTAACCCATTGTGTTATAAGCCAAGGTTATGTTTCTTGTTAATAAATACATGACAAAACTGTGTTTTATATATTAGGCTTTATTTTGGTAGCTGTTGGTGATTGTGATAGCACAAAGTCACAAGTCATCATGACTGAGGGTTTGAGCATGCTGGCTTTGTTCAAACCATTGATCACACTAGATAATGCACTCTCTCCCAGAAACTGTAACTAAGGTTTACTCAGCATAGTTGCAGTATAAACCACAGGTGGGCTATGTGGGTGTTGAACAAACACAAATGTGTTTGAGCAAGTGTCTGCAGCAGGGATTGGCTAGCCACTCTAGTAGACAGGAATCCTTGCATATGAGCAACCAGCCATTCTTATTTATTTTGGTTAATAAAATTTTGGTAAAATAAGATTTATTAAACTACAAAGAATGGCACTAATATGCATTTTTTTGTTTGTTTGTTTTGTGCACTGATATACTAGGTTGATACAAAAGTTTTTGTATTACAAACTTTAATTAATAGTTCAAACAATTTATATACAAGAAGTGTTTATTCATTAAAATATATCCCATAATATTCTAATCTCTGTTGCTATCATTGTGCCAGAAGCCCAATTTCATGCTTATGTCATTTGGCTGGTTTAGAGGGGAAAAATACTTCCCGTAGACTGTAGCAATGATGATGCTAAAGCAACACACTGTTTGTGCCCTTCATTGCAGCCCTGAAACATCAGCTAAGAGTTGTCAACATGTCATGTGTAGAGACGGCTTGTGGTGGCAAGTACAAGTTGTTTCTGATATAAATAAGTATAAGATTGTGATAAACTATTGAAATTCTAATTAATAATAACCACAGATATTTAATAATAGGTCCAAAATGTGATAATTTGTTGTGATAGAAAGAAAAATGATACTGTAGAGTTGGTGACTTGACTTGCAAGTACAGTAAGCTATTAAATCTTAAAATATTCCCCCCCCCAAAATACCTACTTAATTATAAGGGGGTCTACCATTCATAGTCTTAACATATGGGAAATCTGGTATTCTCAGGCACCAAATAAATGTCCCCACATGCTTGTTAATGTTTGAATCTGTCATACCTGAACGTACCTATTCTATTATTAATAGACTCTCCCACACATAATAAGTAGTAGTAGTAGTAGTAGCGGTCACCAGTTGGGCTCAGTGGTGTTGAGTGAGTCAGTCGATGTCGGACATTGAAGTATCAACCATCACAACCAGATTGCTGCGTCATTATCTCTTATTTCAAGTTTCTAACGTTTTGTACGTCGAACCTAATTTAGGACGACTTATTGAAATACAAGCCTCCACTGTGAAAACTACTCTACAACAGAATCTCAACCTTATTAGGACACACACACTAATTCTCCCCCCACCCCTTGTAAATGGAAATTTATTATTATAAACATGACAAGATTTCATGGAAATATTTTTGATTCTTGCTAAATTTTTACTATTACACCATCTCCCTTTAGAGATAATTTTTTTTTTTTTTTCCTATAGTTTTTTGTGTTTTGAATGAATCTGACCTTCAAAACTGTCACATATTACTCATTTATCAGTTACCCCCCACCCTGTAGTTCTCTTGACCACAAAATCTTGATATTCTAAGACATTTTACTCCATCTTCCCTTTTAGAGGTGAAATTTAGGTCTTTCCTATGGCTTCTGATGTCAGAAATTACTTGCTTTCTAAGAGAATTCTTGAGTGAGAGAACCACAGAATCTCAATATCGAGGTCATGTTCTGATCCTGATTGGTGATATTGAACGTGTGAGTAAACCATTGGTTTTTTGCGAAACACGTGTGGAGAAGTTAAAAGAAAAAAAAAAAGAAAAAAAAAATTTTTTTTTTATGTAAATGTAAATCACAAGTAAAAAAAAAAACAAAAAAACAATACGAGTGCAAGCAAGTTAGAGGGAGTGGCTCCATCTGAGGTGAGCCCCATAACTTCATTAACCAAGTGGCCTCAAAAAGGCATAATCCAGCCCTTCCCTGCTCAGAAATCTTAAAAATATATATTTGGCATAGTGTAAAAATTGAATAACAAAAAATTTAGCTATATGACTAAATTTGAATTGTGTTTGTTGATTAGCATTCATAACCTAATTGTAAAAGGTGCTATTGATGCAAATTCATATCTCATCCAAAGCCAATTCTTTTTACAATCCATACTGCCTGCTCCAGGATTGTAGAATATAATATGAGAATTGTAAAAAAAAAGATGAAAAAAAATCAGTACAAAAATTGATAACATCTCATCTACATAAAGGTAAAAAAAAATGAGGGTGAATTGCTAATTAAGTGAACTTAACTGAAGATATCTTATTTTGGGACCCTAATTCCCAACAAATTAATTCTCAATAGATTCACTTCCCACCAGTATGTCTATTTTTTTAAATTTTACCCTAATGACCTTACTTCAAGGCGCCTGATTTTTGAAAATGAAATTTTCAGAGCAAGCTGGCATATGACTTGATAACTCATATCAAAATTTTTCTGAATGTCTTAGAACATACAATAAAATTTTCCTCTGGGGTATGAAATTTTTATGACTTTAGGCCAGGGCCTGAACTAAAACTGATTTACACTAAACAAGATTTAAGTAAAAAAAAAAAAAAAAAAAAAAAAAAACAAGTGGGAGGGAATTTAAAAAAAAAAAATTTACCTGGTAGGCACGGTCAATATTGTCACGGAATGGAAAGAAAGCATCAGAACTCAAAGAGACCCCAGTTAATTTCTGTATCCACTCTTTCCTTTCATCCTGAATTAGTAAAAGAAATAAAGATATTATTACAAAGACACAGAGTAAAGAAAAAGTATATCCATATTTTCAATCAATTTCCTTTTGGCAAAGATAGTGGGGGAATGAATACAAATAAATTCTAAAAGAAATTAAAACACACTACTTACTTCAGTAAATGGACTTGGTGGATTTTCCATCATGTCTTCCCAAGCTGAAGTTTTCATATCCTGGAAAATAGAATGTCAAATGTAAAAAAATCATATATGTATTTATTTTCTTACAAGGGAGATAACTCGTATTTTTTTCCTCATCTGCATCAAAGCAAAATTATCCGAGACTGTAAATAACTTTTAAAATTTCCGAGAAATATACAAAATGTACATTTAGGAATGTAGCTTAAATAAGTCTGTATTGTTGCTATCACTACATATAGCCAACGTTTCTATCCCCTTTTTCACGGCTCCAGCACTCTTTAATCAGGCCAACACCACAGTTCCCCAGCCAATCAGCATTCTTCGCTGTTATTCTCGGTTACACAGGCAAATTGCCTCCTCCAATTCGACCAATCAGCACACAACTTGCTATTGGAGGAAGCATGCCAAACTGTACAAAAAACCCTCATCGTTGCACATACTGCTAGAATGGCTGGACTGGAGAGTAATGCCATTTCACGAAGCAAACTTGCTGATGTCATGTGCCGCACGTTAAGGTAAGACCCTTATTTTCCTATACACCAGATGCAAGCCACTCTGGCTCGCTTGCTTCTACGGGGCTGTTCACCACAAGGAATTACGAAGTAATGTATATAAGTTTGAATTTCAATGCAAGAAGAAATTATTAGGGTGTGCAGAAGTTACCAGCATTCTTTTGAAAATGAGACTGAATGTACAGTTAAAAACAAGTTTTTCGATGGAAAGATTTGCTGTCAACTAACATGTGTAGATAGCATCATTTATCAGCATAAGAAATGCAATCGACAAGGTCTGATGCATTCACTTAACACTTACACGCCTAGGACAGGTTTAAATCCATTTTTTTCTCTCCCCAGTTATGGATTAAATAGTAGTGTAAACCTGAATTTCTAGCCTTGGGTGGTAATCAGTCTGGTGAATCAGTGGTTCTTAACCAGGGGTGTGATATCTGGTTCCTAGAGAATGCAAGGACACCAAATCATTAGGATTGGTTTATTAAGGCAACTGTAGTGTATTGTTTGACGATCTGACAAAGGTTTACACTGTAGAAATTTTACCAATTGCTACCATCATAATAGCAGAAATGTATACTTAAGGAAAAACAAGCAGAAATTGCTGGTAAAACTGCGGTGAAGTTGGAAACACTGCAGTGTGAAGTTTGTTTTGATAAAGAGTAGAACCACTGCTCAAATATTGTTGACATATGTTTGCTCAAATGTGATGTTTAAATATTGTTTAATTGTGTTCGTGCTTACATAAAATTATATATGCATGAAGGGGTGTAAATATTTATACATAGATATATTTAATATTATTTGTTAAGTGTGTGTGTGTATATATATATATATATATATATATATATATATATATATATATATATATATATATATATATATACAATTTATTATATATATTATTTATATATTATATATGCACGTACTTATTGGAAAGTGCTCAATATTAGTGATAGAGCTAATATATTTAGTTGGATTGAAGTTTGTGACCCTGTATATATAAAAAAGTCCCATACTGTTCACATGTTTATGTTTGTGTGAGCTTCAGTGGGGAAGTGTGCATGCGTCTACATACGTCAAAGAGTGTACAGGTGTGTATGTATGTTTGCATAAGTATGAGTGGCGTTCCAACAACAATTTTTCCTCCCACTTCAATAAAAAGCACCGATATACGCAACCCTATATAAATCCAAAATTTAAAAATTGATCAGTGTCTGATGATCGCAAAAACAGGATCACAAACTCACATCAATCCAACTAAATAATATATTACTTGAATATTTTCAGAAAGGAATTTGAATTATATGAAAGTATGTGTTAATTGTTGCTGGGTTAGTTTATAAACTACCAAAGACAGTTAATGTAAACTGAAGTTATAACTGAGATTTAATGTTTATTTGGGTGGCATTTTGTTAAATATTATCAAACATAAAACATATTAAAAAAAAAAAAAAAAAAAAAAAAAAGATAATTTTTCATTTTAAAATTGTATTAAAAAAGAACTATTAGCATAATGCACTTTGAGTTGTCTACTAATGGTTGCTATTGGTCAAATCCTTTTTTTTGCTTATTTATTTTTTTTATATAAAGGGGGTTCCAATAACTTAGAACCAATTATAAATGAGAATTATGTTTAAGTGTGTAATGATTTTTTTTGTCTTTTAGATTTGGTAGACATTTGGGTGATATTTTTTTTTTCTTACACATAATTGCCATGACTTAAATAACATGATCCAATAGAGAAATACATAAATTTTCACCAATAACACTGGTTTATTTACTGCTGACTTTAATCCTTCTTAATGAAACACCCTTTACATGAGATCAATATCGTTTTTCATCAATTCTGGAAGTGATTGGATGAACTGGTTGGTGGTTTGAAAGGTGGGTGCAAACAAGGCAAAAGGTTAAGAATCACTGGTCTAGAAGAATTGAATGTAAACCATGACTTTCAGGGGAAGATCATGTTCAAACACATATACCTCCTGAATATTATTTCAAAGAGATCAAATTCTGTAAAACATGAAGAGGGCTGTTTGAAAATTTTGAGGCACATTGTGCACCATTAGTCTGTTATCAGTTTTGAAATGTGTGGCTGGCCCTTCACATTCTTTCACCACTATAACCAAATCTTATGTGTAGGCAGTCTTGATGTTCAGTTCTAAAATGAAGTGTTGAGCCCTCAGAGATTAAAATTGACAGAAGAGTTTATCATTGTGTGTACATATGCATGCATACAGGGCATAGTTTGGCGTATATTAGACATAAGGTTTTAAAATGAATCAAAATTCTACCTGTCCTACAGTTCCAAGTACGTAGATATCAATTGCGTTGGAGATTTCAGCTCGTTTCACACCTTTTTTGAATTTCATCCCTAAAACCTTTTGGTGCTGACGAAGCCACCTTGGGTAAAAAAAAAAAAAAAAACATTTGTAGTTAAATAAAAAAATAAACAAACACAAACAAACAATACAAATTACTTCCTGCTTCTAGTCTTAAAAATGTTAACAATACACCATGGCATTTTCCCATCCCTTCCTAGTGTCACTAAATATTTTATAAAAAAAGAAAAGAAAAAAGAAAGGCACACGTACCAGTTGTTAGCTTTGTCACCTGCTAATCGAGTACAATGAATACGAGATTGCTGTCCAGCACCAATTCCAATGACCTATAGGTGAAAATACAGGTAATGAAATAAAATATAACTATTATGCAAGCTGGTAGTATTTTTGGCCAGTTGATACTTATATAGGCATGAAAAAAATGCATGGGAGTAGCAATGCAACAGTATCTGACTTTAATTCAAACTCCAATAGAGTGTATTTAAATATAAACACCCAGAGGCAACAGTGTTTCAATTGCTAAATGTAATTGTCAAGCCATGACAATTGTGTTTAGCATGAAACAGATTGCCACCTCTGTGTGTTGACTTCAATATCCACTTTGTGATTGTAGATTTTGTATGCCTTTCTCTTAGCATTGTATATGAAATAGTAAGGATATTAGAGGTTTTTTTAAGGCATTCTCTCTCTCTCTCGTGTGTGTGTGTATATATATATATATATATATATATATATATATATATATATATATATATTTCCTTCAGGTAAATATTGGGGCTTGCAGATTTTTTAGTGCTCTTAAATAAAATGGTTGTAATTGAATTTATTTCTATATATGATTAATGCATTTGATAAATTGTTATGTATAGGATCTTTTTCATATTTATAGATAGTTTTTTTTCTTTTTTTTTTTAAATAAATCTCTGCACCAATATATTATAAGGAAGAGTTGTAACAGTTTATATGTATATATTTATATATAAACACACACACACACCTACTTTAGAGTTATTGTTATAAATATTGTTGATCCTCATCCTTTCCAAAATAGTTTTAGATGTGGTTGTATTTTGCTACTGTTAAGATTGAATAAATTGTTTTCGATAGATGTTAAGGAGTTACTAGGTAATATTATAAGCCTGTTTTTATCTGTCCTGACGTTGTTGCTGTTATTAATGTCATTCTCTTTTTTGTAATTATAGATTTTGTATGCCTTTCTCTTAGTATTGTATATGAAATAGTAAGAATTCTGGAGGTTTTTAAAGGTCTTTGCTATATATTTCTTACACACACACAAAAATGCATTTTACAGGAATATAAAAATATCAACAACTTAAAACCTTTCAAAAGAACTTTTTCTTTAACATAAAAATTTGAACATGAAAACAAGAAAAATTTTTGCTGGGAGAAGAGAAACATTTCTTACTTGACCATCTCGTGCATAACAGACAGAATTGGATTGTGTATATTTCAGGGCAATACTTGCTACGATCAAATCACGAATGGCATATTCAGGAAGCTGAATAAGGAAAAGAAAATATAAATCAAACATAAAATCTTGGGCAATCCTGAACCCTTGCGACAGACAAAAACAGAATGCCAAAATGACAGTTTTTCCATTGACATCACTATTATTTTAACTACATCCACTCTTTGAAAATGTTTGTTTTAAAAAGATATTATTAGAAGTTTAATAAAACCTAAACATATGATGAAAGTGAATTTATATATTTTGTTCTTGAGATTAATTTGTTTATCTAAAAAAAATAATTTTATATTTACATTCTAAAAAAATAATACAATTAAAAGTAATGCAAAATTTATTATTTACCAATTTGTAAAGAAATTAATATGAAAATGTTTTTATTCATAAATTTATGAATATTTACTAAATTATTGAAATATATAAACCAACTATAAGGAAATCTATGTTATTTACCATTTTATAAAGTTCAAATCAATTGGCGATTAGTCAGGGTTTTGCCAACCATCCCAATAAAGAATATGATAAATGCAAGGTGGAATGGGTAAATTGTTGCCATTTTATATTTTTAATGTTGATTTTGCACATACATGTTGTTTTTGTTTATTGCACAGTATAGCAGGGTCAGTTGGGCATTGCCTGTATAAAAAAAAAAAAGAAAAAAAAAAAAAAAAGAAAAAAAAAGAAGTACCATGATGCAATTCACTCTGCCAGACATTTATAAATGGTATGCTGTACTGCTTGGCATTCATGCTGGAAGCTCCAATATGAACATTTCAGGGTGTTTGTGTCTCAATCTGGGGACAGTGCAGAGGATTCAGAAAGAGTTGGATAAGTCTAATGGTGATTATGAAGGTGTTTGGAGTGATCAATTGTGATGGCAACATTATGCCTCCATTCATCTCCCCACAGGACCACAGACTCAGGCCTATATCAAGTGCCTTGAGGGGGTAGTTCTGCCCTAGGTCAAGAGTGTGGCTGCTGGAAGACTCTATATTAATATCTGTGAACACATCATCCCTTACATCAGGCCACCCAACTCCCCTTGATTATTGTATGGAGTGCAGTTGCGCAAGAGATCAACAAAACTCCTTGCAACACCAAAGAAGTGAGGGCAAGGATTACGACAACATTCACCAACTTAAACAAGGAGATGATCCAAAAGAGTTGCAGGAGATTCCGAAGTCATCTGGAAGCTATGATTGAAGCCAATGGTGATTATATTGACTAAATTTACTCTTTAGTATTTCAAGATATTTTCGTATAATTTTGGTTAATATATCTGTTAAAATAAGATGTCAGCGTTATTTTAATTTTTGTGTAATTTAGATGACAATTTATCCATCGCGCTCTAGTGTTTATTTTTGTTGTCAATTCTCAAGAACAGAGAAAATGTATAAATTCACTTTCATGTTTAAGTTTTATTAAAATTCGAATCATCACCTTTTAAAACAATAGACATTGCTGAGGAGTGAACATAATTAAAAATAATAATAGTGGTGTCAAGGAAAAAAAAAGTCCCATTTTATTTTTTTTTTTTTTTGCAGGCACAAAGGGCCAAGATTACTAAAACTTGTATTTTTTTTTTTCATATTCAAATTCAATAAAATCCTTTACTATTTACCGTAATAATTATGATTTGGTTCATTTTTGTAGTTTTTAAATCAATTATGATTTCTGATTTATTATTTATATGCAGGCCATTGTCTTTATCGTTGTTGTTATTATCACAGCATTTCGGCTGTTGTACCCACCGGCCTTCATCAGGTGTTTGTTGAACCAGGTAACCTTCAGGGAATTTCAAACTGAAACTGGCGAAGGATAGATTGTTCACATTTCACTGACCATGTCTAAGGATATCGTGTCTCATTCTTATTTAGTACTGCTCCTCAAGAACTCATTGTAAGTTGGCTCAATAACAAATTATCTAAAATGGAGAAGTCACTTACCTCTTTCCTTTCAGATGTAATATTATCAAAAAGACTCTTGCTAATGGGGCCATTGTTACGCTTTTGTTGAAGTTGCAAACCAAACAAAGTTCTTGTCTCTATTTCAGGAGCATCATACTCAGGATCAATCTTAGAAAAGAAAAAAAAAATTAAGATGGTACCAAAAATGAAATTCTTCATTTTTTTTTTTTTTTTTTAAAAAGTATACAGATACAATAACATTACATTGCTTCTCTTATAATGTGTTTTTCATGGAACAAGTCCCCTCCCATGTAGCTATTTTGAATATTATTTCTATTATTGAAGACATCAGTTGTGAGTTGCTGTTATGATCTTACTCAAAAAACAAGGACCACTGACCTCATTTATACAACAAAGCTCACAAGAGTGAGTTTAATTTTAAGTCATTTAAGGTTAACATGTGACAACATGCTCCATTTATTCATCATTCACTGCACCTGCAATGACATCCAAGGTTGGCTGTGTCTGCATATACACCCAACTCACTATGTTCACAGATTTTTCTCCTTAGCCATGATCATATTCAACAAAAAAATAACAAATGCTTTTCAAGACACTGGTCAGAAAATAGCAACAATACAAATTCTCACTAAACTACTAATCTTTTCCTTCAGTTTCAATAGTTAATTGCTATCCCCCTAACTGCTCGCTGGTCCCTTCCTCCATGGTTGGTCACCTACCTACTTAGTGATTTCCTGCTTCTCTCTGCTTATAAGGATACTGGCTGGGGTCTGACCACCTCTTTTGTGTTCCGGAATAAGAGATTACCCATTTGGCTTTTTGGGTGGTCAGCTTCTTCAAACAACTACTTTTATGATTATCTAAAATCATTGACAAAATTTTAGGTTTGCCAATTCTAAGGTGGACTGGAGACTGAAATTCTGAACACTGACACTTAATTTGACCCAAAGATGGACCGGAGACGAATTTTCGAAGAAATTCGGATAATTAAGTGGACTTAAAAGAAAAAGGAATTTATCTACTTATCTTCCTAAGGATGTGTGAGAAATCATAATTTTACAAAAGCATTGTGTGCTATTTCTTGCCAAATAAAAACTTCTTACAGAATGAAGTACAAAAAGGCAAGATTTGACCTCCTCCAAGTCCAACAGAAATCATTAAAAAAAGTATTGTGATCTTTATGAGCTGTATTGTAGCAAAACAATTACACTCTTAGAGGTAAATTGGTATTTAGAGATAAGAAAAAAGATGATTGAATAAATGATGCTGACCTCTATGGTCAACTGAGGTCATTTGAGGACAATTTTGAATTAAAAAAAAAGTTTCCTCCCACCAAAATTCAAAGGCTAAAAAACTAATTTTTTATTTATAATAAGCTGAAAGCATTGTCACACAAAAATTATAACATGTTCAAAATAAAAAATGGGGAGTCTATTTCAAATATTCACTATATTAGCATTTGAATAAGAGTAAAGATTTTTAGGAAGGTGTGGGTATAAAATAAAATATATGAGGATTTAAAAATAATTTTGTAAAATTATAACTATATCTTTCACTAATCCCCCACTTCTAAGAATTTTGAATCCATGAATTATCTTCTTTTTCTAAGAATTTTGAATTATTGTTCATTCCAGTATTTAGATAGAATTTTTAAGTTCAAATGCCAATGAAAGGAACAGAAATTCCAAAATATGTATCAACATTCAATAATATATCCCGGCTTATAAACATTTCTCTTATTAACTTAAAAATAATTCAGCAGATGATATTTTTATTTATGGTAAGTGGATTTTTGGTGATTGTCTAACATAGTTACCCTTGTTTGAAACTGTACATCTGAGAAGAAAAAAAAAGGTGCTTTTATCACATTTCGGTCTTTTGGCTGGGATCAAAGTGTAGTACCTGTTCTTATCAGATTAATCTAGTTCTCTCCAATTCATTCATTCATTTTCTGATACCAAATAGTGTATTTCCTCTCTTTCCACGTGATCAAAACAGAAGAGTTTATTATTTATTAGGTATTGGTAGGGCATAATGGTCATGCAAAGTAAGTGCAGGACAAACACAATTATAATAGGATGGAGATATATATATATATATAGCTTTTCTTTACATTTTCCTCTAGCTTTCTTGCTCCTAATCTTTCACATTGAATCATATTTTCGCAGTCTTTTCCAAATTCCTTTGAACAATATTATAAGTTTCTATTAAAGTGTCACTAATCCCAACTCAGAATGACTGGATATTGGGCAGATACTACACACTGATCCTTAATAGAAAAGCATAATGGTAATATAAACTAGCAGAATAATAGTATAGATAATGAGAACATTTATCAAAGTATGCAGCAAACAAGAATGTTCCCCCCGCCAACATACATTTAGAGATTAGACATATAACCAGTAATTGACAAAATGTTACAACTGTGATGGAATCAGCATTAGAATATAAAAATCATTAAAATAAACAATGATACAGGGACATTAAAAGAACTCACTTCCAGGACACAGTAGTTACCATTCTTCTTCTTCTTGAGAATCTCCAGGGCTTCTGTCTGGTAACCAGGAGCAATGATACCATCAGAAACCTGCAATGGAAAAAGATATACATTTCTAAAGAATTAATGGATTTATTTTAAAAAAAAAAACAAAAACATTTTTATTACTTCAAACATTATTATTATATATTATTATCATATATTATTATAATATATTATCATATATTATTATAATATTATTATAATATATTATCATATATTATTATAATATTATTATTATCATATATTATTATATATTATTATAGTGGTTACACATATTTGAAATAGATACTCCATTTGTATTTTTATTTTAAACAATGTGTAACGAATCTGTCTATGTCATTACACATTGCTTAAGATAAAAATGGGAATCTATTTCAAATATGGGTATCTACTACAGTTGAATATATTTGTGTTTGTTTTAAAATTTGTTTCAAGTCGAGTGCAGCGTGCATGTGAGTTAGCTTGCTGAAAATTTGTGTGTAGTTAGAAATATGTTTTTTAAAAATTGTATAAATTTGGCTTCGTTATCTATGTGTAAATTGTGTTTTCCTGCTACAAAATCAAATCAATTATTTAACAAAACGTCATAAACTATATATATAAGGTTATGTAAATAAATAAAGTTAATTGATTTTCTAGCAGAAAAACAATTTACACATAGAGATAACAAATTAAAGCTAAATTTATACAATTTTTAAAAAACATTTTTAACTACACACCAATTTTCGTCTAGCTCACTCACATGCACTCTACTTGAAACAAATTTTAAAACACAAATATACTTGAGTGCTGGCCATTATCAACATGACTCTTGCTTGCCACAGATGTCTACAACTACATTTATGTGTTTCCCTTATATAGTCTATAAGAGAAGCTGGAGAGAGAGAGAGAGAGAGAAACTTCACACACACACGCTAACCACAGAGGCTACCTGAAAGCATGGCTAACTGTCTGAACATTAGTCTGTGAAAACGACCGCCTGTAAACAGAAAAAGAAAATGGACTCCACTACCAACGTGACAAGTCCAAACCGATAGCCAACAAGCAGTCAGCCAGGTTAAGCACCATCCTTTTTTCCACTCTTATTTAACACCTCATACACCATACATTCAAACACCACATTATATTGTTTACCAGAGACATTTTCATATCTTGTAAATGAAAATAAATCTTTGGTCATTTCTCCAAACCAGTATCTAATTTGTTTCTTTACTCCAACCAACTTTCACTTCAGATCAATTTCCTGTATCATAATTTGATGAACTTTTGTTAAAAAATAATGAAGGGTTTAATTCAGTTTATTTTATAAAAAATGTCACTCTGAACACAAAATTTATAAACTTGTATATAAATATAGTAATACTATGAATTTTGGGAGCTTTCTAGAACTTGTTTTTGCTTATTTGTAAGTTTATGTTATGCTATAGCTGTAAATTAACTGCATTAAAAAACATGTAAATACTATCCAATTACATCATTAGCAAATTGAAAAATAAAGCTGAAATATTTTTACTTTTTATCCATATTGCATATATGGTAAAAATCAAATGTTTGGTTTGTGAGTGAGCTTTTTCAAGAACTAAAACAAATTAATGCCGTTTTCATTACTATTGAACAAAAGTTCATCAATTTAGGTTTACAAAAAAGTCATAATCCTAATATATTTCTTTTTCATTTCCTATTTGAAAACACAAATAAATTACCAATTCCTGAGTTGGACTTAGGCATATACAAAAGATTCCAGCACTTTTTTGAGGGGAAAAAACTAGAAACTAATACAGTAAAAAAATAAATAAATAAATAAATAAAAATAAAATAATAATAAAATAAATAATAATAAAATAAAATAAATAAATTTTTAAATGAAAATATGCCAGAAACTTACTAATTTTCCCCTGTGTCTTTTTTCTTTTTTTTAAAATGCCATGTTCCTTCAAGACATTGGCAATCATGGTTCCCCACAGACTTCTCTCTGAATTGCCAAAACTTCTTGGGAATGACCAGACAGTGGTTTCCTGTTGCCATCCCCACAGTTTAAATTTAGAGCAGTCTTTCTCAGAGATTGGCTGTCATCAAAAGTTGGATAGTCCAGTCCACCCTATTACTTGACTCATAACTCTGGCACAGAAAAAATGGATTTCTGTTTTTCCTAAGGGTATTTGTGCAAAAGTGAAAACAACCAAATTTGAACTCAGCTTGCCAACTACACTTTCCCTGCTAATAATCTTACATCTTAAGGTGAAACAAAATATGATGACATTCTAAGTAAATCATTATGAAAAACTTTGCTTTGTAGATAAGATGACCAAATATTTTCTACTGATGTCAGCAGTTGGAAATCAAGCCAGAATAGAAACCAGGATTCCAAAAGCTGATTTTCAAGGTTCTGGTTCTTTCTAAATTCTACTTCAACTCTATACTTCTAACAGTTTCCACCTGAATTCTGTAATTTTATTTACTATTTACTTGCTACTCAATAGGAGTAGCTAGATTTGCCTATTGCCTGGTTCACACTCCCCAGTCTCTTGATCAGGAGTAGAGATTTATCCCTTGTTCCCTGTTCAGGATTGTGTTTCTGGTTCTTTCTAAAGTCTTTTCATTCTTTTTTCTCTCCCAGCAGACCCTTCCGTCTTAGTGGCATTATTACCTTGCTTGGGGTGAATTGATATATATATATATATATATATATATATATATATATATAAAAAAAAGAAACATTAGAATATAAAACCCTTTTCTAATATTGTCATAACTTCAGAGAAAAAAAGATTTACTTTACAATTTAGTACAGATAAAACACACATTCCTGATTTTGAAGACATTTTTCAATTTTTGTGTGTGTGTGTGTGTGTGTGTGTGGTGGGGTCTTTTAGGGTGCAGGTAATCAACTTCCTTTTCTTTATTATCTGTGAATAGCGTAGGAAAAATAGTGGAGTGGCTTCCTATTGCCATCAGATCTGAATTCAGAATTGTCCTTCTCCAAGACTGCCTACCACTCAAGGCAAGAGAGCCCAGTCTACCCTGCTTGCTATTTAACCCAAAACTGGTGAAGGGGGAACTGAGTCTTGCAACATGCCAGAATTTGACCATGTAGACAAGTCATGCAACCCTCACACACTTGCAATTTGTCATATTTATGGAGGAAGCTATGTAGATATAAATAGTGTAGACATAGAAATCAACACTGCATAGTGACTATCAGTGGAACTTCCTTATTACCAATGGAATATTAATAAGATTCATTTTTTTTTTTTTATGGCTCATCAACCCTTTGGAAGTTATTTAAAGCCAAAACATATTTTGAATTGTAAGAATAATTTTTTACCAAATAAATATTGCCATAACAATTTTTTGAAAAGATATTTTTTTTCTTTTTCTTTCAGATTTAACAACTTCGTCTTTGTTAATCTTTCCATGGTTGAAATTGCCAATCAAACAACGTGTTAAAGTTATTGAAGCCTATTATGAAAATGGATGTTCAAACAGAAATGCATTTTGTGCACTTCACAATTTTTTTCAGTCAGCATAATCAACCAACCGAGAGTGCAATTGGAAAAATTGTTCATAAATTCAAACAAACTGGTTTGGTGGCAGCTGTGAAAACACCATTGCGTGCTCGTTTATGCCATTCAGCTGAAAACATTGCTGCAGTGCATGAGAATGTGGCCGAAAATCCAAACACCTCTGTCATCGTGTGCAGGAACCAAACCTCTCCACAATGTTACATTAAATTTTGTCAAAAGATTTGTCTCTACACACTTAAAAGATCCAATTGACACAAGAACTGAAACCTGCTGACCATTTGGAGCACCATGCATTTGTCAATTGGGTGAATGAGCAAAGACAAACCGATGGAGATTTTCCGCAGAAAATCCTCTTTAGTGATGAAGCCCATTTTCATCTTGGTAGATTTGTTAATAAGCAGAATTGTTGCATTTGGACTGATGAAAATCCAAGGAAGAGTGTTGAAAAGCCACTGCATCCACAAAAGGTCACTGTTTCGTGTGCATTTTTTGTTAGCAGAATTATTGGGCCATATATTTATAAATTTGAACATCCATTTTCGTAATCGATAACTTTAACATATTGTTTGTTTGCTAATCTTTCCATGGTTGAAATTACCAAAGACTTAACTTGTTAAATCTGAAAGAAAAAGAAAAAAAATCATTAGACACTTAAACTTAATTCACATTTAAAATTGGTCCAAGTTATTGGAACACACAATACTATTTAACCCATAGCTGGAGGGAAAACGGATTCATACATTTTCTAAGAATATTTGCGACTAAGTGAATGTAACAAACTTGACTGGAATTTGAACTCAGCACTCCTATTTCTCATTCTGAGCCACTATCCATTACATCACCAGCATACCCATGCAGACATATTTATGCATACAGAATTGTGTGCAGCCACTATATATGTAAATACAAAGAAATTGGAATGGACAATGCAAAATTATTTTAGTTTGGTTTGGTTGTTTAACAACCTTATCAATCTCTATGGATTCCAAAGTGTCTTAAAAACTTTTCTTTTTTTTTTTAAACAGTAATGTTCAACCTGTACATGGTTCAGGGACCACTTGAGGTAGATGCTTACATTAAAGGGTAGTTTATACAGATAGGAGGGGGAAGATAATAATTAACTCTAGACCTGAACAGATTAAGATTGTAGCAATCAGGAAGACATCCTTTTGAGAGTCTGTTCCACAGAGCAGTGGTTTACGGGAAGAAGATATTTGAGTGGAACTTATTTCTCATCAATGGAATATGAAGGGATGTGGGTGGTAAGTTACACATTTTTTTGTTTGAAGAAGTTACAAAAAGATTAAAATATACAACAGTAGTTAATCTACAGTTGTTAAGTCTGTCTGTTCTACAAATACTTTCATGGAAATTGCTCCGAGGAGCTGCATTTGCTGGTTCCCAGACGTCATGAGTTCCAGCGCCTTATGAGGCTGGCATCCCGCTCTCACCCCTTCACTGTCGAAACTCCTAAATGTAGCCGTCTCTTCTACTCCAATAGCTTCATGTCTCACACCTCTTGCCTGTGGAACTCCCTTCCCTTTTCCTGTTTCCCTGTGAGCTATAATCTCCAGCTATTCAAGTGTAATGTCAATCGACATCTCCAGTTGCCTTGATCTATCCACTACCCTCATCCTTTCTTCTATCACTCCTATCTGATCTTGCTCTAAATTTTCTGTAATCCCTTGCATCCTAGTGGCTTCCCGCCTTGCTTGGGGTGAAATGCTTAAAAATCATCCTAAACAAAGATTCAATGGTGTAAAAAGACATTTCTTTTGAAAAAAGGAAAAGCAGTTTCAAAAGACCAGGTGCATTCTCTTCACAGACTCACAATCTTGCCAGCATCCTTCCCAGAGACAAAACATTGCTATCCTTTCTCTACTCTATTGCTATTTTCATGGTAGATGCTCGGATAAATTCCTTGGTTTTACCAGTCCAGACCTTCACAGCTAGGACTCACCATGTGACGTACATAAAAGTTGATTTATCCTCAATGGCAAGGAGGAAGTCCTACTCAGACAGCTTCTTCTCCAGAACTGTTGCAATGTGGAAAGGCCTCTTGAGGGGGATGCTTCCTTGATCACAAAAATCTTAACCGCTTCAAATCGTCACCCATTATCTGTCCTACACATCAACATATGAACCCCTGCTTTCTTCCTAAATACCTTTAAATAATTCAATAACCTTCTACCTTGAGTGACAAAGAGTGTTGGTTCCAGCCACCTGAGAATGACTGCTGAATGCCCCACTGAAAATTTATAGAAAATCCTAGAAATGCATGCTGGGATTTCTTATAATTCAATGAAAATAAACAATTCTTTATATACCCATGCATTTTTTCTTATATTGAAGTCAGACTTCAATAACCATTTAACTATATCCAATTTGTGTACGGACACTGTTTCTTTTTTTACTGTCTCATAATTGCTTTACTTTGTTCATTGCTTGTATTATTTTGTGCCATTCTCCTTATTGTTATTATTGGGAATTTTATCAAATTCAACTTAAAAATCTGCTTATTCAACAAGAGGACACAACTGTGCTGCAACATGTAACAGTAACTTCTAATTTGCTTTAATTTACAGCAAAAATAGTATACTAAATGGGAAAAGAATAAAACAAGATTTTTTTTTCAAAATCAGAGCAGTTTTCAGGATTTTTACAGCATTTTCTATTATAGGAAAAATTTCAGGTCTGACTGCTATAATAGGATTCATTTATAAATGTTCATAGCAAATTTACAAGGATTTACTTGATTTTATAAAAAATTCAAATATGACTTTTTTTGGCATTGTTACAATTATTGTCCACATAATTTTTTTTATATTTATCAAATACTAAAAGTCTGATTTGTGCATACTTGTGTGGTGCATGAGTCTGGTGCATTATGATTTAAATTAATTTGATTTAAAAAATATTTTTAAATGAATAAAAATTAAAAAAAATACAAATTGTCTATAGAATAAGTATTTTTATTTTAACTTTCTTCAAACAATTTTTTTTAATTAAAATATTTTTAAGTTAAAGACAGACACAAAGAGGTCCCACTTTGCTGTTTTACACAGTTGTTTGTAGAGTAATTATTTATATTTCAACTTTCTTTAAACAGACAATATTTTAAATATTTAAAAAATATTTTTTAGCATATTTAAAAATATTTTCAAGTGAATATGATTTAGAAACATTTTTTGCCATATTAAAAACATATTTTTAAGTTAATCTGATTTAAAAAATATTTTAAATGAATAAGATTTAAAAATACAAGTTGTTTATACAGTAAGTTATTTTTATTTCAACTTTCTCCAAATATTTTATAACCTGAATTGTCAGTGACCCAACAAGTCATGGGTAGTCTAGTTTTATACAAAAAGTCACCATAGTGACTTACATTTATCAGCAATGTTTAAACTTTGTGACTGAAAAAAAAAAAGATGTGTCAAAAAGACAGTTATTCCCTTGACACCGCTATTAATATATAGACTTTTGACTCGTTTACAAGATCATAAAATATGTCAACTGAGTACAAATATTTGCCATTTATAAAGGTTTATTATTTACCATTTAATAAATATGAAAACAAATTTTTTATTCAATCTAAAAACTTAAATAGTGTTTAATATTTTTGTTGTCAAGTCTTCATGTTTGGTTTTTATTAAAATCCTAATCATCACCAAGAGAATCAAAGTGTATACAGAAATAGTGGTGTCAAGGGAATAACCATCCTTTTGATGCCATTTTTTGCAGGAATGAAGATTAAACACTGCCCTTATATCTGGTTTATGCTTACATATAATGTTATATTTTAATGGATTTTTTTTTTTTTATCTAAAATTATTTCTTATTCTAGAAATGTTATTTCTAAGGGTTACACATATTTTAGTTGCTGTCCTTGTTTTTTCTATTTTCCTAAACAGTGACATTAATAAAAACCAACTATAGAGTAGGATTTCTCAATCTTGGCCGGTTGGTATTATATTCACAGTTTAGGAAAATAAAAAATAAAAAAGGGATAGCAACTCAGACACATGTACCCACTAAAAATAACATTTATAGTAATAACAAATAGTGTTGGATAAAAAAAGTAAAAAATTCTTCATCCATTCCTTCCTTTGTTCACCATCAACAATTCAATCTTAAATTATAGATAGCACAAGTGGACTGAAATATTTTCTAAAAATAGACATTTATTTCACTGTAATATTGAAATGATCTTGAATTCATTGTATCCCCCCCAACCATGGAGTGGGTAAACCAACTCTAAAATTGCATTGAATTTTAGCATTTAAGAGGTTGTAAAATAAAACAAAAGGAGAAACCAGGAAGAAGAGAAAATAAGATTCAAGTCTATAAAGAAAGAATGGTTACCTCACGTGAGATTATTTTTGCTGTGGGTACATCGCACACATCTGACAGTGAAATGAAATCGCCAAATGATGACATCCGATCAGCCCCTTAAACATAAAAACATTAAAAAATAAATAAATAAAAAAGTCAAGAAAAAAAAGTAAGAAATTAAATATATTTTCAGTTCTTTTACTATTTAATTTTATTCTTTACACAATATTAAAAATCAAATGACTATTATCAAATTTTCTTCTTTTTCACTCAAGTAGATAATAGTAAATCACATATACAAAGTCTTTAGCTTATTTTGGTCTTTTCTTTTTATGAAACTATCACTTATATATACATATATACATACACACACAGAAAATTTACTTCCAGTCGAGCACTCTGGAAAGAAAGCACAAATTTGTAAACATTGACTACTAATGCCAATACATGAATTGTGCCCTCTCAGTCATGTGTGTGTTTATTCAAAGAATAGGTACATAAAATTTCGGCTTCCTCTCTACCAGGTGCTGATAGTGCAAGAGTAAAATCTCCGACTGATGCCAAATCAGTTGGGTTTCGGTCCAGGCTTGAAGCAATCGGATGTCTAGCCTCACTGATGAGCTGTGATACAGCAAAATTGTCTGTGGATGACTATATACACACATATTTATATACATACACACACAGCCTGATGATTGCATGAAACAGACTGCCGCCTCTGGGTGTTGACTTCAATGTCCATATTTACATTTATATATGCTCTGATAATGAGCACTTTAACCCATAAATATAGCATAACTTAAAAACTATATATATATAGTTTTAAGGTATGCTATGTCTATGAGTAAAAAAAATTGAATATCTGGGATAGAGCTAGTGTAAATAATAAATAGAGTGGACACTGAGGTCAACAGAGTGGCCACAGTTTGTTTCGTGCCTGAATGCAATTTCCAGCCATGAAGTTTATTGCCTGTTCTTTGTACTGAAAAAACATTGGACAGAAAAACCTTAAAATAAACTAAAAAAAAAAAAAAAACAAATGTGTTGAAATTAGTTAGAATCTCATTTCTATAGCAACACATTTAAAGTAAACAATGAAGCATTCACTCCTTTAACATGAATCACATTTTTTTTTGCTATTGTAGATTTTTTTGTAATAAAATTCTTTTTCTGATGCTGCCGATTCATTGGCAAAATATGTCAAAGTAGTTTTCTAAATTATCTTACATATTTATCATTCTGTTGGTTTCTCATCCAACTTTACTTACAAAGATATATACAAAAAATAGTTCCAAGTAACAGATTATTAATATATTTATGAGCTAAAATTAAAATAAAAAATAAAAAGGGGGGATGGGGCATTTGTTATTTAAAGTTGGAGTTTATAAAATAATTATTCTCAAATCCATACCTCGAGCCCGTGCATAAGCAGTGGCCAGTGGGGTAAGGTCCTTTATGTCACTCACCATACAAAGTTGGGCTTGTTCTGTACTCAGAGGAACACCAACAGCAGCTCCTGAAAGACAAAAGAATAAAAATCAGATCTAAAAAATCACAAAAAATATCTGTCATCAAAATTTCAATTTTATTTTTCAAAAAAAAAAAAAAAAAAAAAAAAAAACTGAAACCTTCAATTAAGATGAAATTTACTTGCCACAATTTAGAAAACTGAAAATATTTCACATCATTATTCAATCCCTGCAAGATCTGGAAATTTTCTGGAAAATTTGGTAGGGGAATTATAATTCTGAGTAAATAATTATAAACCCCCTAACATTTATAAATAGAAAAAAAAAACTCATAAAAATGAGAAGCAGCAAGACGTGGAACACAACAAAACATGGATTATTATCTGGTTGTGATTTGATGTTGGGGACATGAGAGACAATAATAATGAATAAAATTGTGAGTTTGGGGTCAAATGTAAATCAAATATAGATTGGAATTTGAGAGAGTAAAAAAATAAAGAATAAGTGTATACAGTCTTTCTCGTATATTTTTTTTTTATGTAATTAGTGTCCAGATAATTTAGTTGGAAAAATACAAAGAAGTGTCTGAGGTTTTCTTATCTCAAATTTTTGCTGAGTGCTAAAAGATAAATGTTATTATCATGGCTTGAAAAGGAAAGAAATAATGAAATTTTTGTTGACGTACATGTTAACGACCTGCCCCTTGTTCAATAGTGAGAATGTCACTGGATCTAACTAACGCCTTTATCCACTGTGCCATGTGACCTTGAGGACAGGACCCGAAGTGTGTGAGTTCAATACCCGATTAAGGCAGTGGAGAACTTTCAGAGGGAAATTAACAGGAGATAACTGATAGTTGACATCCATTAAACATGGCACATGGAACTAGAACAGTCTACCCCAGTGAGCAAAATAAAGGGTTCAGTTCAACATTCCAACCACCTGAAGAAGGCCAGAGCATATAACGTCCAAAACATTGTAATAAATATGGCAACAAAGATAAGGACAATAGTCCAAATAATGTAAATAAGGTAGTTAGAAAATTAAAAAAAAAAAATTATTAATCTGAATATTTTTGGAATTATATGAAGCTAAACGTACACACTGCCCAGCCCAGCAGAATAGCTTAGTGCATTGGTTCATGAATTTGGTGACACAGTAATTGTGAGTTCAATCTCTGGGCTGAACAATGTGTACTTGAACTCAATAGAAACAGGGCGTGTAATAACAGAGCAGTACTAAAAATAAGAACTAGACGAGATATCCTGAGACGTGGGCAGTGGAACGAGAACAGAAGAAGACCAGAGGGTACAATAGCTGAAACATTATGATAACAACAACAAAAATGAGGACAATAGTCCAAATGTAAATAGTGTAAATAAAAATAAATGCGGTTTCTGAAGATGTTATGACTTACAATAATCACCTAATCAATAAAAACTCCTCAGAGGTCGGCAGATTATATTTGAGAACGCTAAGGAGTCTGCTAGGGACTCCCAACTTTTCACCCACATAAATACTGGGGTGAATTAAACACAGAATGGAGTTTGCATGTATATATGAAGATGGGGAGTTTCTCTTTAATGGGGTTTGGTATGATGTAAATTTGGGTGGAGTGAGACTGTACTTATAAAGAAAAGAAAAAAGAAGTAAAAAAAAAAACAAAAAAAAAAAAACTGTCAACTTATAGTAGCAACAAATGTCTGCAATAGATTTCTTCTGCCTCTTGACCGCAACATTTGTAGCCAAATCAAAGTTCGAACAGTAGTCCATCATAACAGGCAACATAGAAACGGCAAAATGGGGTCACACACCACAACCTTCACTTCGCATCAGCAAAAATGCGTGTTCGGCCACCAAGCTCAGAAAATCTAAATGCCACATAAGCGAAAAACAACGGCTTTTGTTCACCAAGAGATCTCTCTGACTGGTCATGCCATTCAGAGGAGAGAAGAACATTAGCATAGATTCTGGTCCTTAAAGTAGATTTTTGCTAACTACTTTTTGGTAATTTTTCTTCAGCAGATCGCACACAAAAAACAAACTCTTTTTCGGGGTAGCTGATTATCACTTTCACTACAGAGGCTTTGCTAATTGCAAAGTATCAGAGGAGAGGTTCTTGGGGAAGATATAGGGGATGGGGTGAAATGGAGACTCTCAGAGTTTATCCAGAACCACCATGTGAAATAGTAATAATAAGATTGACAGAAAAATTTCTATCAACTTACCAGCAGGGCTGACATGTTTGAATGAAGTAGCAGCTGGCAGACCAAGGGCATTTTTTAGTTCTCGTACCAATTGCCAACCGTTCAGAGCATCACACAAGTTGATAAAACCAGGAGAACCATTCATAACTGAAAGAACAAGAAAATTAAATTGTTTTAAACTATAAAAAATGATCAATTTGTTTTTAATTAAACTAAAAAATGATCGATTTTTTTTAAATTACTGAAATAGAAAACATAGAAAAAAAAAAATCAGAACTGTTAAAGTTGAGTGTTGTGGCTCCTTTTCCGTTGACCTGTCATGAGACGGCGCAGTTTACGTGGTGCTTCGAGCTTCGAAATTACTTTGAGCAATTGATAGTTTCAGAAATTATTTTTTGAGCAATTGATTTCGAGCAATTTACCTAGATCCACCTATAGGAATCCTATAGCTGAGCAATATAGCAATTTTCTCATGCATATTAAAAATAAGCTTAAGTTACTAGAGAAAAAAAGACATTACACTAGTATCTTTATTTGTAGATGAAATTCACCTAAAACCTTATTTTGATTATAAAGGTGGTAATGATGTTGGCTTAGCCAACAACAACGAGTCTGCAACAAGTACTTTTGCTTTTATGCTTAATAGTGTATTCTCACAATACAAGGATGTTGTGCATATTATGCCAACTAAATTTCTTAAAGCTGAAAATTTATTTGATATAGTTAAATGTGTAATAATTGGCCTAGAAGAGATAGGCTTTTGAGTAATATCAGTCATAACAGATAATAATGCAATAAATAAGAAATGGATAGTGGCTCGGATTGAGGAATCGGAGAGCAGAGTTCAAATTCCAATTGAATCCATTACATTCACTTACATGCTAATACCTTTGGGAAAGGTATGAATCCTCTTCTTCTCCCCCCAGCTATGGGTAAATAGCAGGACAGTTTGGGTTCTATAGCTTTTGATGGCAACTGGTCTACCACAGAAAGAAATGGCAACCTACCGCAGGAAAAAATCTGCCTAGTCAGTCATTTATTAAGATACATGATCACATAAGCATGTATCACGCATGGCACTGATATTTTTTGTAATCATTCAAAACTTTCAATTCATATTCACATCCAGTTATGAAATCTAGACCTTTTTTCTTCATATTGGATTCAGTTCATATACTAAAATGCATTAGAAACAACTGGTTTGGTCAAAAAGATGCAAGTAAATGCATGATGTTCCCCAAATTTTGTCATAATGGAAATCAGGATTTAGATAATATCCAAAGTGCCCAATTTGTACTTTAAAGAAGCTTCATATCCTTGAATATGTCAATTTTAAAATATTGCTATAAATTGACCTGAAAGACTTTCTCTCACTAGTTTGGAAAGGCAAAATGTTTCGTTAGTTTTGCAATTTTTTTAAAACAATTCACTATTCAGGAATTGCTGACCTTAGGGAAACAGAAATGTTTTTCTAACTTTGCAGAAGTTGCAGAATACATAAACATATTTTATACTTGGTGGACAATACTGAATGTAAAAACACCATATAAAGGTTGGTGGCTTAACAATAAATATACTAATCCACTTAAAGTAAACAATGACAATTATATATTTCTCAGCATATTCTGCTTCTGGAATAGCATTCCTGGAAATAATGGGGAAACCTTCACAGCTTTGCATCACACTACTCATGCAATTCTAGAACTGATAAAAGATTGTGCAGAAGAAATAAAAATGATGTATGTATTACCTGTTAAATTTCAAACAGATCACCTTGAGGATAGATTTGGCCAGTACCAGCAACTTGGTGATGATCAATATAATATCTATATGTCAAGTGTTTGAGTGTGAAACAAAAAAAATCAGAATGATGTCAGTTTTAAAACTGAGTCTACCACTTAATAACCAAAGCATTGATTTGAAGAATTTACAAACTAACTGGGATGAAGTGGCAGAGGAGCAAAATTTAGATATTTATAAATTTAATATGGATTTAACAGAAGAGTTAATGAGTGCAAAGATGTTCCTGTTCGTAGCAGGTTATTTCTGTTATGCAGTTTTTAAGAAAAAGAAATGCAACAGTTGCAAGAATTTAATATTTGGAAATTATAATGAGGACACAATATCTGAAATAAACAGCTATTTTCAGGAGATTAATAGAGCTTCAATGCTATATCCTAATGACACTATTACAAATGCCGTTATCTATAATTATAAAATTGTTGGTAAATTGACAAAATAATTCTTTTTTCATTCAGCAAATTAAAAGAAATTAGCCATGCATATAACCTTGTTTTGGCAAATAATGTGTATCTTTTTCATGTGGACTCGTAATGAGGGTCACAGTACTGAAAAATTTGAAAATATGCTTGTCTGGAGATCTTCAAATGTATTTTTTTAATAATTTTTGTGCTAGGGAAAATGATATTACTAGAAAGAAGTTAACCAATAAAGAAAACTTCAAACCTTCGGCTAAATTTCCCATAGACCAATGTAACATTTTTTTCTAAAATTATTTAAAATTTGTATTTTCTTTTCTACACAATGAATGTCAATATTGTAACTTTAGTACTAAAGAATAATTAGGATAAAACATGAAATTAAAACAATGTTGATTTTTTTTTATTGTCAAAAAAAAAAAATAAGTTTTCAAATAATTTTATACAATCAAAATAAGGAGAATGAATTTTAGTTTTTAAGTTCAATAATGAAACACACGCTATTTACTTTAACATAGCAATAAACATAAAACTTTAAATAACTTTCTTTTAGACAATAAAGTTTATTCTCAGGTAAAAATTGAAGCTTGTTTTTTTTTTTTTTCTTTTATAATGTAATTGTAGAAAAAAATATTCTGTGTCAATCTATTAACTTTATGAAATAATCATTAAAATAAAAATGGATTTTTAATCTATTGTTTATTATTTATTTATGTAAAGATGTAGGGTAGCGTTATGGTGACCTACCTATATTAGTATGTACTCTTCCTCCTTCATAAACTCTAACCTGTGAGACTTCCTAAGAGGCAGTCGAGAGGCAGTGTAACCTGACAGTTCGGACAAACACTTCTATCTGCTAATAACATTCTTACTTTGTATATATTTGTTATTTCAACACTTGTTCAACCTACATTCTTTTTTCTGTGTCTTTCTTTCTGGCCCCTAAGAGTCTACAACAGGTAGAAATTGAATCCTGATTTGCTGTTCTTCGTCTAATATGTAAAATTATTCTGTCAATTTCAATTGTCAGTATCGTAACTTTACAGAATAAAACATTTTCATAATATCGTTTGCTTGTTTTTTTTTTTCTTTATTTTTATAAATTAATATTGAATAAAGTTCTAAGATGAAATTCGAGCCTCGGTTTCCTTTTTTTCCCTTTTAATTGTAATTTAAAAAGTTTTCTATACCTTAAAAAAAGCCTACAATCATTCATTTTCAACAACTTTGCTTCTGTTTATATTGTGGTAATGGCACATTTAATCAAATAGGCCTTCTATCTTGATGTTGATGAAGATCAGTGGTTCCCAAACTTTTTGGGTTGTCATCTTCTTGCATACCAAAACACAACCCTAATGCCCCCAATATATAGTCAACCTTTGTTTAGATTTCCTTAGTGATAGTATTGCATGTCAAATGAGTATCTTAGTATTTCCTCAAATAATTGTTATATAAATGGGACAAACTGTAAAGTGAAAGCAAGATACACATCACGTACAATGTGTGTGCGTGGTGTATGTTATGGTTCATATGTGCAACTGCCACTCTCTGGCTGCCCACATTTTTTCTCATTGCCCTAACACCCACTTGGGGGTTCACGCATCTAGAAGAAAGATCATTGATATAGCACTACTAAGGGATGTAAGGGTAGTTGCAAAAGAAAAGAAGGAAGAAATGTATCAAGATTTGAAATACGAGATAGCATAAGGGGGGGGCTTCAAAAAAGTAGTTGACATTCCTGTTGCTGTGAGGAAAAACATCCAAAGGTAACTGGGTAAAATTGGGACTGCTTCAGAAAATGCCACTGCTGTGAGAAAGTTTTTGTTGATGGAAAGAGACCAAAAAATAACAAGAGACATGGTCAGTTGTTATGACCCACTCCTGATCATTAAATTATGGGATAAGATCTGATTGAGAAGATAAATAATAATAATAAAGCATAACTTGTTTTGTCTATTTTAAATTCAGTGGGTAGATGGAAGTGGACTTACCTTTTAAGGGTAAATTGGGTTGGGTGGTGTAGAGCTGGGCTGGTTTTTGATGAGGATTCATACCATAACGCAAGGGCAATTGAGACACATTCTGACTGAAAGTTTTGCGGAAATAATCAGATATGGCTGCATCATATTCAGCTGTATGGTTGAAAGCCTGAAGAAATAAATAAAAATAAATTGATGAGATTTAATCCAAGCTCTTTCTCTCACACACACACATTATATAGATAGATAGATATATAGATAGATAGAGATTAATATTAATGAAAGCGAAGTACATAGAAATCCACTTAGGTGATAATTTATTTCATGGGATCAGGTGCCCATCTCTTCAGACCAAAATTTTACAAAAATAAATGGAGTTTAAATTTATCCCCAGATACATGCACAGAATTAAAAAAAAAAGGTGGAAGAGAGAGAAAAGAGAAAAGGAAAAAGTATTAAAAAAAAAAAAAAAAAAAAAAAAAAACTTATTTCAAAATCTTCTGTCTTTCCCCTCTTATTTTTAAAACTTTTTCCTTTTCTCTTTCTTCCACCCTTTTTTGCTTTTGGATAAATTTAAACTCCATTTATTTTCATAAAATTTTGGTCTGAATTGATGGGCGCCTGATCTCACATCATAAATTATCACCTAAATCGATTTTTAAGGACTCCGCTTTCATTAATATATTTGCTCTGTTCTTACATTGAGCTCTCTTTGGATTTATATCCTCCTTGGAATTATCCCTACTAATTATCAAGTGATATTACATATATTTTAGGAAAAATCTATGACAAAGTGGAAAAACTTACTTGTGTGATGCATTTCATCCTTTAGGTCTTCATCAGACTAAAGTCACGTCTATGTTGATGTGATTACATATGTGCAGGAAGGAGAGGACATGCATGCTGATTTTTTTTTTTTTTTAATAATTTTGTGTTTTTGATAACATCAGACATATTTTTAAAAAAAATAAAAAGATTTAAAATTCCAGCACCTCCTCTCCTTCATGCACATGTGTAATTACATTAATGTAAATATCACTTTAGTTCAATGAAGTCTTAAAAGACAAAACATGTCACAAAAAAATTTTTTTTTGACTTTATCACAGATTTTCCTAAAATTGATATGTATAAATTTATTTATATATATTATATAAACATACACACACAATTTTCTTTGAAGATGACTAACAATGCACTGTGATTAAGCTTTTTATTTATTTTTTGTGGGGTTGGTATAAGTGTTTACTTTTCTGGACATAAAGTGTGTAAATATTGTTCAAATGTTCTGTGTAACCAAGCAATTAAAAAGGACATTTATTAATTTAACTGAATGTGTAGATTTTTATATATGTTTCTATAGTGATGGGAATTTATTTTGCAAAGACAATCAGCACATTGTGGCCATGTTCATAGTCAATATTGTTGCATGATGGTTTCCTTTTTTATTATTAGTGCTTTCATTATTTTTAGTCTATTTTTACATGTAGATGAGGCTATTAGACTTGTATTTTCTACTAGTATGTTGCAGTTGGAGCTTAACAGGTTTCCATGTGTTTAAACGAGCCCTAATTAAATTATGGTAAGAGATGTAATGTGAGTCTTCTTGATAGACATGTAGTGGTAGGCCCAATATATATATATATATATATATTTATTAATGAATGTGGTTTAATCAGGAACACAGTTCCTTAAAGGACATGTGAATTCATAAATGATATTGGTTCTCTGTAATTTGGATCTTGCAGGTGAATTATTGTTGATTATAAAGGTTGGTTGTTTTAAATTTTTTTGTAGTGGATAATTTAATTTTCTTATTCTGGTCATCTGGGGTTGTGTATTTCTTTATGTTTCTAAGAGAAAATTCATCCAGTTAACATGCATTTGTTTTTTATAGAATATGTTAATGTTATTGTTTTTATCTTTATCTTTTCTATGTTTATTTTTTTATGTTCAGTGTTTCTATTGGTTACCTTAGAAAGAAATACAGACATCCCTTGATTAATGCACATTCGATTAATGAGCTAAAACTTTTATATACCAAACTTTGATCAGTGCATACAATACTTGAGTAGTGCAGTAAAACATTCTTCAGTTTAACTATAATAATTGAAAATTGATTTTTTATAGTTACCGATGTATACATTAGCCATACTAATCAAGGGATTCCTGTAGTCTAATTTGGTGATCTATGAGATAGTTCAGAAAACCGTTATTAACTAGAGAGGTTAGGTCAGGGATTACTCTCTGCTGCTGGTGCCTTATAACTCCGAATAACTTTGTTACTTGGAAAGGAGATGGGCAATGTCAAGTACCTTCACTGCTCTGAGAAATTCATGAAAGATATAACATGTTACTCTGATGATCTATTATCTCTCTCACACACAGAGACTGTACAGGCTATTGTCCCATGGCAGTAATGTGCAGAGGTCTGGCAATTCCTTGATTGTATGCCCTTAAGACTGAAGTAGGCAGAGAAACGTGAGAAAGGAAGATATTTTAAATATGGAAAAAAAAAACAAAAAAACAAAAAACAAAAAAAAAAACAGATGAAACATGAAATAAACACTTCATTCAAGTTAAATTTTTATTTCACTTCTCGATTGGATGCCTTCCCAATATGGATCCTATGGCCATTACACCCTCCGACTCCCCTTCTGCATGCTACTGTCCCAAGGGATATCATATGTGGCAATATATAACCCCTGCCACCGACACACAGTAAAATCAATCCTTAATAAATTTTATTCAAATAAAAATAATGACAATTAATACAAACTTTGACAGCCAAACGCTTTCTTGTTTCTTCAGTTGTATTCTTTGTTGGAGAATTTCTCATTTCCTCAATAACTCTGAAAGTTAAAAAAAGAAAAAAAAATCCACAAATGATTGGTTAACTTGATAGATTTGATACATCACCCTTTTCTGTCAGAATTTCAAAGATGAGAAGAGTTATCATTATGTAAACACTGACTAATATCCTCATCTTTGTTACTACTATGCTCTATCTTTAAGAGCCAGATCAGACCAAAAAATGGAATACAGATTTATTTGTTTGTTTAGTGGTATACCAACTCCTTATGGGTCATTTAATACAGAAATTTAAATTTCTTGGAAGCATTAGTAATTTTTTACAAAAATGTATTGCTGGTAATTTTTACTACATAAAAATGTATTTTTATACTTTCATAGTGTTTTGACCCCTGTTTGAGAGTTAATTATTTGCCTATAGCTGGGACCCCAATAGGTGCTACCACTCTGGGTCAGGGTGGACTTGGGAACAACAGCTATTAAGAAGTGGTGCCACTCTCCTCAAAACCTGGTCAGAGGTCTTGCTGCCAGATGTACTTTATTGTCATACCAAGGATGATAAGAGTACTGAACTGTTACAAAATATTGGTCTTGTATGGCAGTGAATGCTGGGCAATCTCCTCACAGATGAAGAAGAGACTTGAGGCAACAGAAATGTGGTTCTACAGAAAGATGCTGAGAATATGGACCAAACATGTGAGCAATGATGAAATTTTAGAGAAAATGGAAACAAAAAGAATATCTATACTTAACATTGGGAAGAGAATTGACATTTCTAGAGCACATAATGAGAAAAGAAAATTTGATACTCAGGACAGATTGAAAGCAAGATGGACAGAAGAAAACAATGTATAACCTACCTAATGAGCTTAATCACTACTATATTTGTTTTTTCCAAATTAAAATAATTTGTCATTGAAGGAAAAATAATTCTGAGGAGTTTAAACACACAAAAATGGTAGACTTCTTTAGACCAATCATAGCAAGTTCAAAGTGAAGTGATTCTTGCAAAAATTCAACACTATACCACATTTAGCAGAGATTGAGCTCAATAGTAAGTTGTTTGATAAGATCAACTTGGCAGCTGATCTAAAAAAATGATCTACAATCAGCTAACTGGGGCAAGGAATGGCTTGTTAATTTTAATAGCTCCAAAACAAAACTCTCTTTTTACCTTCCATCAGCATGGCTGATGCTAACCTTCAGGAAAACGACTCACTGTGCCTTCCCTTACTAATGTTTTCAACTCACATGAAGTGGAAAGATTATATCGCATCAATTGCTAGGTCTGCTGCTAGGAAAGTTGGTTCACAGTGTTGTGCTAGACAATTTTTCTAACAAGAATCTATCTTACACATTTGTAAGTTTGTCATTTATCCATGCTTTGAATATTGCTGCCACATATAGTCTGGTACTTTGATATATTTAGAAATTCTTGATAAAATACAAAATCTGCAATGACATTGGTCCTGACCTGGCATCTCAGCTTCAGCCACTTCCTCACTGCTGTAATTTAGCTTCCCTGTGCTTTTTCTATAATTATTTTCATGATAACTGTTCTGATCAACTTTCCTCTATGGTACCTAGACTTTATGAATTTAAGTGCAGTACTAGATTGGTAGCTAGGTCTCATCATTTTACAATTGAAAAGGCTGGATGTAACCATAAGTTCTATGCTGTTTCTTCTCTTGCACTTCTTGCTTGTGCAACTCTTCCGGATTCTTGCTTTCCAGTCAAATTTGATCATCAAAAGTTTAAATGAAATGTCCATCGCTATCTTTTGTCTTCTTAATTTTGATTTTTTTATTGTTCTCATTTATTTTTTTTTTCATTGTCCCACACAAAAAAATCCATTGTGTCTTAGTGGCTTTATTGCCTTGCTTGTGGTGAAAAAAAAAAAAAAAAGAATTAAGCAGCTTAATTAGGAAATTATACAGTATTCTTATCAAATAAAAAGGTAAAATAAAAATACACAAAAGGTTCGTTGATTATATGACATCAACCTGTAGTATGAAAAATCAACGTTGTGTACTTGACTGACTGTCTCATTAACAGGCTATATATATATATATATATATATATATATATATGGGTCGGGGAGAACACATACAAATTTTTGACTTTTTGTATTTACAACTAATGAATAAACATACTTTTCATCTAATTAACTGTATACAGATGCATAATAACTAAATATACATAGAAAACAGAAAAAAATTTTGATTTAATAGAAATAAATCCGATTTATCTATTTTAATGGGTGACAAAGTATTCGTACAATGTACACGGATGTCCTTACTTTACATAGCAACAATTTTTTTTTTTTCATGAGTGACTTTTGATAGGTTTTGCAATTAATTTTGATTATTTCTAAATTTATTTCCAAGTTATAAAAATTATCGTATAAAAAAGAGAGAGAGAGAGAGAGAGAGAGATATGTCACCAAAAACAATCACAATAATGAAAACTTGAGAATTCAAAATTTCAGGATTGTAGGTCTGGATATGGGGCCTCGGAATGTTTTTAATTTGCTCACAGAATCAGCCCAATTCAAAAATGGTAGGATATGTTGGGCTATGTCCTCTAGGAGCAAAGTTGAAAACACAGACAATTTTAATTTGAAACACTTAACAGTAATTTTTTTTTCAGTTGAACATGAATTATTGAAAGTTAAAGAGTTTTGTCCCTTTAATTGTTTTTATCAGAAGCCAAGATGGCGGAATTTAAAAACAATTGCAGTAAAAAAAACTTGGGAATCCAAAATTTCATGATTGTGAGTTCGGATCCGGCATAAAATGTTTTTAATTTGCTTATGGAGCCGGCCTGATTCCAAAATGGTATATGTTGGGCTATGGCCTCTAGGAGTAAAGTTGAAAAAGTGTGACACAGTCACACACTGACATTCGCATTTATTATATAAAAGATGTATTTCGACAACAAGAATTTTCTCAAACATGCTTTGTTAAATAACAAGTTTCATCTATCAACATTTTTAGTAAATCTTTGAAATTTCCAAATGTATTATCAGTAAATTTGCTAAAATTCATCTTAAATTTCATTTTGTATTATTTTTCTCCCCAAATACTTTTGAATGATACTCCATTCATTTTCAAGAAAAAATTTTGTGTGTAGTTACACAACTGTTTTAATTCTGGCATCTTTATATTTGATGAGAGTAAGTTGAAATGGATGCCAGCAACATATAAATATTGCTAATCTGTATCTAAGTTTGTAAGCATTTACTTGGTGTTGGAAATGGGTAAACATTAATGGTTTATATTTCTGTTGGGAAGCATTGATATAATTTAGGCATCATGAGGTCATTTATATATGAATGTGTAAGTGTTTCCTTGGTAGATGTGTGTGTGGGGGCTCACCTCTGCAGAAGTCGTCAGTGTATTTTCGGCCCCATCAACATGGCAAACCACTAAAAGAAAGTAAATCTCACCTGCTGTAATCATCAGGGTCGCAGACAACAGTAACACGTGCAAAATTCTTTGCTGCAGCACGAAGAAGTGTTACACCACCTGAAAAAAATAAATAAATAAATAAATAAATAGAGATAACCCTTTGAAAAAAAATTATCTGATTGATAAAAAAATGTTAAATGAGATCTAGAAAATATTCAGCTTTTTTATTAATATATATATATATATATATATAAAAAGGCTTAAACACTAATATTCCATGGTCATAATTTATTCCATTGGAATCGTAAATACAATCCAATTCATCAGACCTACAAATTCGAAAAGAAAACAGAAAAAAAAAAAAAAAAACACTCCAAAAATAAAAATAGAATTTAGAGAGAGTAAGTATGAGTGTGGGACGAATGTTAAAATCTTTAAAAAAACTTTTAAATAAATAAATAAAAAGGTACCAGGGATTAAAGCTCATTAAAACAGAAGATTCAGGGCCTCACTTCTTGGAGGAACCTCCTCAACAACTAACAATATCATCAGGGGTGTAGCCATACTCACCACACTTGGCCAGTTGCAGATCGGTGAGGCTATTTAATCATAGTTGGAGGTTTTGAATTAAGACTTGTCGTTCTTCTAGACCAGTTGCCACCAAAGGCTATAGGACCCAGTTTGTCTTGCTATTTACCCTATAGCTGGAGGGAGAAGAGATGGATTCAAAAGGGTATTTTGAACTTAAGTGAATTTAACAAACTCAACCAGAACTGGAACTGGTTTCTCAGATTCCTCAATCTGAGTTGCTATCCATTTCTTCACAGTGCTTTCCATAATTGTGACAATGTCATCTTATTCCCCTTCAAAACCTCCCAAACTTATCTCACTAGCACCCCATTAACTTTCGAAAAGTCTGCAAAAATTTATTTGCCTAATCACAATTCCCTTAAATCTCATCTATGGTCTAAAGTCAACAACCTTTGAACAGTAATTTTGCTTTAAGAAAAGCAAAAGGAAAGCCAATTCTGTATTGTATAAGGATGTAGAAGTCTGACACATCTGAGTGATACAATAAATAAAAAAAAAAAAAAAACTGAAAACTGTACCATCTTGACAGGATCAAGGCCTAAGAAAAAAGTAAATAAAATTGAAAAATGTCTAATCTTAGTCTAATCAGGGCCTGAGAAAAAAATGTTTTCATTTTTATTTTCACTAGATGGAGGTGTGAGACATGCTTGTAACAGCCCAGAAAGTGCTCCCTGAAGAACTGGCAGAGGTAGAGAGCAGACTTGAAACATACACACACACACACACAAAAAAAACAAAAAAAAAAAAACAGATAGATTGCAACATAATCCAGAGGAGAGGGAAAGTTTTAGTTCACCCCTCTCATCACTTTTTTTTTTTTTTTTAATACACCCTTTTTCATTTTCTAAACAAGAAAAATCACCAATTAATGAATTGGATTTATATTAGTCATGTACAAAGGTTACTTATTTTTTTTAAACTAGAACCTGAATACACAGTAAAAGAATATTTTTTTTAACCTTTCACACTCTGCATTACTTACTACTTTCCTTTCCACTACATTGTTTTCAAAAGCACTTCTACTGAACTACTTAATTTCAGTCATGGTCATTTTCTGTTGCCATAGCAGGATATGACAACACAAATGCAAAATTCAAACACACTATCATTCATTGATCTGAATTACTTGCAGCGGCAGGATAAAATCACCTGTTAAAGGATAAATGAAAAAAAAATCCAGAAGCTTCTACACACATTTAATATGAAACACTTTCACTACTACATTCCCTAGTGCCTTTTTTTTTTTTTTTTTCTAATTTCATGTTCCTTCAGGACATTGGTAATTATGGTTCTCCACAGACTCCTTTCTCTTTATCTCTGAACTGCCAAAACCTCTTAGAAATGATCAGACAGTAGTTTCCTGTTGCCATCTCCACAGTTTAAATTCAAAGTGATCATTCTCTTAGAATATCATCAAAAGCTAGAGAGCCCAATCTAACCTATTATCTGACCCATAGCTGGAGTACAGAAAAAATAGACCATGTCCTTAAGAGTATTTGCATAAAAAGGGCCCTGAAACTAACATTCCCCCATGGACATCAGTGGCATCGTGGTGAGTGGACAGCTTATGGTCAAAGTGAGCTCTGGGAGCCAAGAACAAAACTCTTGGACCTCCCTTGTGCTATGATGCCGATGAATAGAAAGCAGTCAAAACCATTTGCAATATGCAGGATTAACCTCCACCTATTACTGTATACCCTTCCTGTTCCGGATAAGGACAGGGTGGCAGTACTGGTTCAGTAAATCAGTGGAGCTCAAGCCAGGGTATCAGAAGATCAAGTAGAAGGACTGTAGAAGAGGCTTTAATGAGGTAACTATGGTTAACTACAAAAAATAAAAGTGGTTAGCTTGAAAAGGAATCCTTTGTCAATTTACAAAAATATCCTACAAAAATGAAAACAACATTTACACTATTTACATTCAAACCATTGTCCTCATCTTTGCTGTTGTTATCACAACGTTTCAGCTGTTCTGCCCTCTGGTCTTCATCAGGTGTATACCAATCCGGGTAACTTACAGGGCAGTGAAACGAGAACAGTCAACTCACCATAGATTAAATAATGGGTTCAGTTTGGAATTCCTTGTAGGTTACCTGGATCGATATGCACCTGATGAAAGGCACAACAACCAAAACGCTGTGATAACAACAAAGATGAGGATAATAGTCCGAATATAAATAGTGTAAATAATAATAATTCCTCATCCCAGAAATTCAAATAGGAATTAAAATAGTTCAAATTAAATATGAACTGACATGTGTTTTGTTCCATGCAGAAATGTACAAAGTAGGGGAGGTAATCAAAGACAAAATTAAAAAGGAATAAAATCTGAAGGTGGAGAAAAAGATGAAAGAAATTAACAGATTAACGGCATTATTGATTTGAGTTGGGAAACAAATTCCACCATACTGTTACTTTAAGGGATATAACTGGGGGGAGGGGGCGCTTATGACAAGTTTAGGAGTGAAGCCTTCAACCAACACTAATTACAAGGTTAAATAATTACCTCGTACAGTTTGTCTACATCCAATGGGACCAACAAGACTGGAGACAAGAGGAAATATGATTGAGAAAAAAAAGGGAGGGGCAAAGAAAGGGGGTCAATTATACACACACATTGTAGTAAACAAAAATCTATGTACAGCCTTCATTCAGTCTCTATTGAAACTAAACAAAGTGTATGCATATTTTTAAAACATAAGTTTATCAAATTAGAAGTTTTTAAAGGTGTGTACATAGATTTTAAAAATATATTGTACACTCCAGCTTACTCTTAATGGCCATATTTTAAATCAATGACAATTTGGGAAAATTCAAAAACTTTTAGATATTACCTATATCAATTTTTTCCACAGCTTCTTCTGGGGTGACATCAGGAGCAGCCACTGTTTTCACAAATGGATAAAGGTTACAGACCACCACTCTTTATAGAAAAAAAAAAAAAAAAAAAAAATCAAAAAAGTGATCCTTGCTACTTTAAATCATTACAAAATTTTCCTCAAGTAAACGATAGCAATACTTTTTATTTAAACAATGACTTTAAACAACAATGTTTAAAACAATTTAAATTTTTCAAGTAAAGGGTAGCAATATAGACTTAAAAAAAAAAAATTGTGAAAAAATTTGCTGGACAAGTTAACTCACCTAATTAGTCGATAATCAAGATCCTCCACTTCCTTTACATCAGAATCAGTAGGTTTAGCAAGTATTCCTGAAATTTACCAATTTATATTTATATATATATATATATATATATATATATATATATATATATATATGCACATACATACACAGACACACAAAAAAATCCATGATTAAAACATTCCAGCAATATGCCCCACCCCAAGTGTCAAAAATGAGTTATTCCTTTGACACTGCTATTACTGTATAAACTTTTGACTCCCTCAAGCAAGGTTTATTTACAAGATTATAAAAATATGTGAACTAAATACAACGCAATATTTATTATTTACTGTTTTATAAAGAAATTTAAAAAGAAACCTTTTTATTCAAAAATTTATCAAGAAATTATAAATTTATCAAAATATATAAATCAAAATGCAATTATTTACTATTTTATAAATAACTATGAAAACAAGTTTTTTTTATTCAATCTAATAAAGAAATAGTGTTTAATATCTTTAGATAGATATTAAGATTCTAATCATCACTTTTTAAAAACTCTAAACATTGCCAAAGGAGGCAAAAGTGTATACAGTAAAAGTGGTGTCAAGAAAATAGCAGTCTTTTTGACAACACAAAGGTTGAACGTTGCCAATATATGGTCATAATTATCAAGAAAAAGGGAATTAATATATAAAATTTAGAAATAAGAACATTTGCCAATAAATTCTAATTAAATAGATAATTTTTATACATTTGCACCTTTGCTATTGGTAGATTAAATAAAATTTCAGCATACAGTGTAGAAAATAGAAAAATATATTTTTAATACAATTCATATAATATACATCTTATTCTAATATATGAAAATATGCAATTACTAGGTGTCTCAAGCCAACCAAAGTAGATGACAGATTAAAGTTCATATATGTATCCAATAAATACTCCTGCGTCAAACCCACTCTTTCTCAGTTTTAAAAAAAAAAAAGAAAAAAAAATGATCTCCATTGAACAATCAGTCACATAACTAACCTTATCTGAATGAAGCATGTAACAGAATTACACCAGAAATAAAGCAACAACAGTGTGGCTTTGCATTTGATAAGGTACAACACAAAGATCTACAATAAATTGTTAAGAAAAATCGATTTTGTTGGGAAAGAGAGTAATCTGGAAAATTTACTTGGAGCAAACCGAAAACATACAGATAGATTATGAAATGGCATTTGCAACATTATAAATGACAGGTCAGGCTTAGGCCTGCCTCTGGTAACATGTAAACCAGTACAACTTGCCACATGTACAGGTGGTTGGCATCTAAACCAACCCCGCTTAAAAGCTTTTCTGTTGGTGAGGAGAGTGGAATGTTACCCTACCACAAGATGAAAAACAAGACCTGTCTATGGGTGGATGAGCTTCTTATAGAAGCCAATGGCAAACACACACACACATTATATATATATATATATATATATATATATATATATATATATATATATATATATATAAATAAAATAAATAAATGTGTGTGTTTGCCATTGGCTTTTCATAAGAAAAAAAAAATTTCAATGTTAAAATAAAACGTATATACACCTATACTTGCATGTACATATATATTTTTTTCCTCAGGTGTTATAAAACAGTGCTCAATGTTATATTACAGAGCTGTTAAGTATATATTAGTAAATACACATATCTCACAATGATAGTGCTATCAATGTAGGATATTATGTGTAGTCACTAAAATATATATATATATATATATATATATATATATATTGCATGGAGTCTCAAGCTTTGAATGGCAACCTTCCTAGAGATGGGGTTTTGATAAAAAAACTTGGTGTACTCAGACTACTATGAGTTGGCCGTCAGAAAGAGCATCCAGCCTTGTAAAACCTTGCCTCAAATCATTATGACAAATTCTATGTCAGGCAGGACCCACCTTGCTTTGCATAAGATTAATCCCAGTTCTGCCTCAATAAAGTATATGCATATACCTGTGATATCATAAAATCTGAACATTGACTAAATTAAAATTGTATTAAAAAGAAAAAACTCACCACCATGAATAGCTGGATGAAGAGTTTTAACTCGACCACCCAGCATCTCAGGACAACGAGTGATGTTAGACACTTCCCTTAAAAAAAATAATAAGTAAATGAATAATAATAAAACAAATAATATAAAAATATTAAAACAATAAATTTTAGGTTTTCATAGAAACTTTGTACAGAAGAAAATGGCAACTTAACCTCATCAGTCAAAACATTTCCATGTTGCATGATGTTAGTATAAAAAAGAAAAGGTTCTCCAACGAGACAAGACCAATCATAAACATTGTATAAAGAGTAGACTGCTTTAAAAACTCCTAATTTTTGCCACCAGACAACTCTTTTGTGTGGTTATGAGTTAATTGAGCAAACCTAATCTCTTTTTGTAGATCTTATGACATTTTCAAAAATTAAGCTTCTTGCAGGTTCCACAATTCTAAAATACCCATGGAAATTCCCTTATTTCATTGTTAAATAATTGTGTTTAACAACTTTAACAAAATATTCCAATAATAATCATGAGTATGAATGTAGGTCATTATTTAAAGAAGTAAGAGGGTACAAATAAAAAGATTTGAAATGGTTTTCCATTTCATTGAAACAGATATTAGACAGATGAGAGCATTATCACCTCTTCTATCTTCTCTCACTTTCTTATCCTCACTGAAACTAAACAGCATCTCTGATATTTCTTTTCCACTTTTTCTCATAATCAAGACTGAATGAGGTATTGGCAGGGCAAAAATTATGTACTAAGGAACAAGAAGAATTATAATAGAATGTTCATGTAATATAACATTTTAAAACAGAAAATTTGGAGCCATTGATTCATGCTAATAGTTTACTTTTCACTGTTTACTGTTGTTTAATTCTGGTTATCAGTGATCTAAAAAAAGGAAAAAAATTGAGATAATTTTATAAAGAATTTACATAAAGAAGTGATATTGTTCAGAAGATCAATCAAGAATTTGACCATGCAGCCGTCAATGGATATACAGCTCAACATTGATTCCAAAAATTTCCTAAGAGTCATGATAACAATGAATTTGTGGATGTCTTCCTGTAATAGACAACAACCAATTTGAATTAATTCTTAATTGAATGAATGAATGAATATGCTCCTTGTGATTTCTATGACTAGAAAATACCCAAAGAAATTCCCCTATTGCATCATTAAATATTTGTGGTTAACAACTTTTAACAAAATATTGCAAGAACAATCATAACAATGAATGCAGGTCATTATTTAAAGAAGTACGGGGGTACAAATGAGATTTGAAATTGACAACTTTCTTTGCTTCTTTTTTTTTTTCCTCATTGAAAAGAAACCATGTCGCCAATATGTCTTTTCTGTTTTTCCTCACAATCAAAACCATTATTTATGAGGCATTAGCAAAACATAAAATATGTACTAAAGAACAAGAAGAATTGTAACAGGATGTTCATGTAATATGACATTTTAAAGCAGAAAATTTGGAGCCATTGATTCATGCTAATAGTTTAGTTTTCACTGTTTACTGTTGTTTAATTCTGGTTATCAGAGTAAAGATTGAAAAGAAAAAAATTTTCCATTTTACTGAAGCAGATCTTAAACAAATGATAGCATTATTGCCTCCACTATCTTCTTTCTGTCTTTCCTTTTTTCCTTGAAACCAAACAGCAACTCTGATACATCTTTTTGCCTTTCTCCATGATCAAAATAGATAATTCTTTGAGGCATTAGCAGGGCGTAATGTGCTAACTAAGGAACAAGCAGTATTATAATTATAATAATTTCACATATTTTTTTTAGGTTCATATAAAATTAAATAAATAGAAAATAAGCTTACTCAATTGCTAACCCAGCATTTCGAATTGACTGGGCTGTCCCACCGGATCCAACAAGTTCTAAGCCAAGTTCACCGAGACTCTTAGCAAATTCAACTATGCCAGATTTGTCTGACACACTGAGAAGAGCTGAAAAGATAAAAATCGGCAAAAATCTGTCAAGAATTCTTTATTTAACACAGAAAACTATAATCCCAGTTCCTTAAAAAGTCTAAACAAATTGCATGTTAATTACGTCTTTAATGTCTTCAATAATATATTTTTTTAACTTAAAGATCAAAATTAGTGTGAAAATTTTTTTTAAGAATGCTACAATATTTTCCCTCTATTTATGAAAGAAAACAAAGCAAAAAAGCAGGTAGAGGTTTTGACGAAACATAATTTGAATTCATTAGAAACATTGTCAATCATTTTTTCATCATATTTCTCTTGCCTTTTATCATTTCAATATATTTGTATATATGACGTGAATATATACTTTTAAAATGCCCGTTTTTAAAGCCATAATAATCAGAAATTAATATTAAAAGAAGCAATATTAAAACAAAGGAGGAATCATTAAACACAGTCCAGTAATTTGCAAACAAAAATGTCACTTAGAGATAACTTAGGTACCTCCACGAAATCGCTAAAAAAAAGAGCATGGCTTGATGAAAAAGACGCCAAACTTGCGAAAACTAAATTTTATTGTCTAAATGCTTATGTTATTATTAAGAGGAAAGACCAAAGTTTTTTTTTTATTTTTTTAAAAATTTTCCTTCTTTTAGAACATTCTAAATTTTGATTAAAAAAAACCTTTTTTCTATTTGTATCAAGCGGAACTAGTAAATAACAGACAATTTTAGCACGTTTTTTTTTGGTATGACACACATTAATTTGAAAAATCGTGCAAAAATAGAAATAATTATCGGATGTTAATGAAACTTTCAGAAACTATTCACAGATGATCGAAATTATTATAAATATGTTTTTTATGAAAGTCATGGTAGAAATATTTTTTTTAAATATTTATTACCCCCATAACTAATTTTATGAAAACGCTAGAAATTCGATCATCGGTTTTAGTGATTACAATAATTAAAAAGCACAGGGCTTTGAGGAATGCAAATCATGTTTTTTTTGTTTTTTAATTGGATACGCAGTACCTGAAAAATCAGCTCTGAATTGTAACATACAAAACTCAATAAAACAAATATATTATTTAATTTCAAATGCTTTTATTTGCTTTTAGTTGTTTTATGAATATGGACAATATTTTCTGAAAGCAAAAAAATTTTTCGATGAAAAATGAATTTTAATACAATTATTTGTTATTCCATTAATTATAATAGATTTTACATTTAAGTTGTTAAAATATTATAAAATTAGTTAAAAGTCAAGATCGGCTTTCATAAGTGTCCTTATGAGATAGATCTTTTTTTTTATGCGTTGTAAATTGTATCATTTTGACTAATCAGAAGATACCCAGTAATTAAGAAATGTAATTTTGTGCTTATAATCAAGCTGTAATTATAAAATACGGAAGACCAACCAGAATATAATTAAGTTGCATTATTTGAGTTAAGCATTGTTCTCCGCTGTTAAGGCTTTTTACTTTTGCGAAACACGTGTGGAGAAGTTAATTTGATTTTCAATTTCAACTGAGAAGGGTACCTACAAGTATCAGTATCATCTTATGAAATTTATATGATCTAATTTTTATATTAATCTCAGTTACGACATTTTTCCATAAATGAAATATCAAAATTAATAATAAAATGAATGCAAATACAAATAACAGTAGAATGTAATAAATGTACATAAAATTATAGTATTTTATGTACAATTCTGATAAAATTTCATAAGAAAGGTACCTATAAATTAATTAGATACCTTTCTTAAGAAATATGAAATTTAATGTCACTCTTAACAGTTTTATTTTAATTTCTTTATAATATATTTCCCATAAAGCATCATAAACGTAAAGGTGAAAGCTAAGTACAAAAAAAATAAAATAAAAAAAATTAGACCGCTGAAAGTTTTCGTTAAAAATAACAGGGTAAATAATTTGTTCACGTAAATGTAAATTATTTCACTTTTCTCCTTCCGTAGAACAAATTAGCCTCATGGAATTCGTAAATATATCATTCATCACATGTCAAGAGACGCATAAAGTTTATGACCTGCTTTGTTTTATTTTCAAATTACATCTTTTTGGCACAAAAAGCTAAGTTAAGTTTGGTTCAAAATATTTTAAATAAACATTATAATTTCTGATTTTCTTAAAATAAGTTTTGAAAAAATGATAATTGATATTTAAAAAAATTTCAAAGTCAGATTTCCATTTTTTTTTAAAATGGAAAAAAAATGGTCAATTTTGCTGACTCAAAAAAAACTAGATTTTTAACGAAAATTTCGGACGTGCTAGGAACGATTAAAAAATGGAAAAAATACCCCAAAAATACTTTGACCTTTCCTCTTAATAATAACAAACATTTAGACGATAAAATTTTGTTTTCGTCAAGTTTGGCGTCTTTTTCATCATGCTATGCTCTTTTTTTAGCGATCTCGTGGAGGTACCTAAGATAACTGCAATAAAAAATAAGTAAAAATTTAATGCTTTACTGAATTTAATTACTTTCATTCTTTAAAAATTTCAAAAAAAGAGATAATTAATATTTGGATAGTGTTAATATTGCCATTTTAGACAATTTTTGCAGAGTAAAAACTGGATTACGTCCCCCTAACTTGCCTCATATTCTGCATCATGTTTTTCTGAGTTTGTAGGCAAAAAGTATGTCACTATATAAATTCAAATATATCCACGAATTATGTTTGAGATAAAATTATATTCCGATTCTCAATTATAAGGAAAAGAAAGGAAGAAAAAAAGAGAAGGGGAAAGAGGGGAAAGCAAATTGGAAAAAAGGAAAGGGGGGAAAAACAGTAAAAAGTTATATTACATTGATACTTGACTTCTAAAGAAAAGCTCAAAATTCAAGAACAGCTAACAAAATCTGTGGGAGGTAATTCAGTGTTTGCTATGAGAAAATTGAAGCCAAAATAAATGAATAAAAAGAAAAAAAGGTAAAAAGAAGAAAAAAGAAAAAACATTAAAATTCTTACAAACATCACTTGAGGCATCTATTAGCTGTTGCCTAAAGATAATTCACTAAAATCTTTGTTCATTCTCTGATGCATTTCATAAGCCTGTATGATTTAATTAAATGAAAAAGACATTGCAGCCAACTATAAGAATTGTTTTTCATTTTTGCATTTTTAGTAGAATTACTTCAGGCTTAAAAGATTAACATTGAACTTAATAGAGATGATGTCAGTCTAAGATGATTTTGGAATTGATAAGGTTACTGAAATGATGAAGTAAATGATAATGTCAAAATTGATTGAAGAAAACCTTAAAAGACCTATCTTCATAACATTGCCAAAGAAACTAGGTGCAATGAATATGGTGATCAAACTCACTACTCAGTCATAACTGTTCTAGTAAGACAAGTTTTCTAACCATTACACCATGTTGAGATACCTAACCAGGTGTAATGAATATGAACTCCATTAGACAATCAGCCTGATAATCTATACGACTAATCATTTAGAATCTAATTAGAGTGAAAAAATGCAAGAACAGTGTGGCTTTGTTAAAAATACTGGAACATGAAATGCCATCTTTATGATCAGAGCGAGCAATACAAATGCAGAAAGACTTATGTTTCATACATTACACAAAGACATTTGATAGGGAACAACATGAATAGTTACTTAAAACATTAGAAAATATTTATTTATATAGGAAATATATTAACATTATCTGTAACCTCCACTGTGAACAAGCAGCTCACAGGTGTGTATATAACAAGTTTAGTGAATGCACAAAAATAGAAAGAGAAGTATAAAGTCCTGCATTCTCAACTAGACTTATTTAACCTGTACAATGTAAAAAAAAAACAAAAAAAAAAACACACATACTCAGATTTATTATTGATGGACATAATCTTAACCAGAACCTGTGCAAGGGTTTTGTGCCCTCCTCCAATCTATGATACAGGGCTCCCATTCTACAGCATCTCAATTTTCATGAGATAGTATTCATATAAAATACAAATGTTATTGTAATCTAATTATGCACAGTAATGAATCTTATGCAATATAGTTAAACATTTGAATTAGAAAAATTGAAAATAAATACAATGTATCTATTTTAAATACAAATTAGAGACATGTCTTAATATATCATTTCATCTAAAATAAATCAACAATGCTTTGCAGCAATCTTTAACATCAACTTGTTTTCTCGCTAAAAAGTTGAATAATTTTAACAACTTTGACATTATGGATAAAAAAAATAGTGAGTTTTAAATAGTATTTTTATCGAGACTTAGCATAAGCAAAACAAATTCATGGATTTGGTCAAAAAAAAAAAAAAAAAAAAAAAGACGACCCTAGAATGACATCAAAATCTGGAAAAAATTTTTACCCTTTAATAGTCAGTTGTGCTCAGTTTAATTTGTAACATAAATGTAGATAGCAAGTATTACAAAGCACTGCCTGGGGGCCCCAATCATGTTACCAGATCGGGAGTTAGGACACACCTGACCTGATCTTAACAACAAAAGAAAAAAAAAAAGAATTGAGCTCAACAGCATTGCCATAAATTGTGGCCAAGAAGATAAAGTTAGACATTTGTTTAATTTTCAATTCCAGCAAATAGCATTTGGGGATATGGAGTCAAGAACAAGAAAGAATCTTGAACTACGGTTCCTCAACCAAACAGATGTGCAATTTACTATGTTATCAGGTTGTCTGGAAAGTTCATGCCAATTTTTAAGAGAAATTAAAGCACAAAACAAAATTATGCCATTAAATATTTATTCAACTAAATATGAACCATTTTGTTACACAACCTTTCTCCATTTTTCCTTCAACATAAAGATTCCACCTTCCCAAAATTTGAGTGGCTTCTCAGTTGAGGTGCTTTTTTTTTATGTCATCCAAAGAAATAAAATTTTTACCATTGACATTATTTTGCAAGGACCTGAATAAATGAAAATCTGAAGGAGCAATATTTGGTGAATATGGTGGATGGGGGTAACATGTCCCAGCTAAGCTGAAACAATTTTTGCTGGGTTGCCAAAGAAACATGAGGTCTGGAACCATCCTGATGAAAATCAACATCAACACCATTCTTGTTGACCAATTCTAGGCATTTTTCTTGAATTGCTGCTTTTAATTCATCCAGTTGCGAGCAGTACTTTTCAGAATCAATTGACTGGTTATTTGGCCGAAGCTCATAGTAAAAGATTCCTTTCCAATCCCACCAGATGCGCAGCATGACTTTCTTAGGATGAATACCTGCTTTTGAGGTGGCTAAAGTTGGCTCATGTTGCTTACCCCAGGATCTTTTTTACTAAACATTGTTGTAAATGATCCATTTCTCATCACCTGTCACAATTTGCTTAAAAAAGGGTGCATTTTTTATTGCATTTATACAGCAAATGACAGGTGAAATGTGATCCAAAAGATTCTAATGTCATAGTGATTTGAGTACCCAAGCTTCACTAAGTGCTCATGGATGGTGGATTTTGATAAATTTAGTGTTTCGACCAATTCCTGCATTGTACAATACAAGTTTATTCTCAATCAATGTCTTGATTCGGTTACCATATGTAGTGGAGGGTTTGCTTGAGCATTCTTCATTAATAAGGCTACAATCACCAATTCTAAACTTAACGAACCACTTCTGTACAGTTCTATCAGTTAAAGCATCCTTACTGTACACAGCACATATCTTTTTTGTTGCTTGAGAGGCATTTTTGCCTTTACGGTTAAAAAAAAAAAAAAGCTTTGTCAAAATTGCACCTTATAATCTTCCATTTTCATAGGGATACAAAATTTACACAAATTAAGTAATTTTAAACTTTCTTTCTCAAGAAATAGTTGGAAGTGTGCTCTAATCAGAAATGTAAACATAAATTTGACGTGTTCTAACGTGTTGGAACATGAACAACTAAAGAACAGCATAAATTTTCTCGACAACCCAATAAAGAGCAAGATATTTACATTATTCAGACTATTGTTCTCATCTTTGTCACCATATTTATTACAACATTTCGGCTGTTGTACGCTCCAGCCTTCTTCAGGTGGTTGGAATGTCGAACTGAACCCTTTATTTCGCTCACTGGGGCAGACTGTTCTAGTTCCACGTGCCATGTTTAATGGATGTCAGTTATCACCTGTTAATTCCCCTCTCTAAGTTGAGGCAGGCCGGGGGGCACAATGGCCAAAATGTTGTGATAACAACAACAAAGATGAGGACAATAGTCCAAATATAAATAGTGTAAATAATGATAACTCTTCATACCAGAAATTCAGACAAGTTTCATTAACACATGCATAACTATCAAAATTAATTAACCATTTGCTTAATTGCTTCATCACAAAATTAAGTAAAATTAATTATTTAGGATAATGTTTCTTGAAAAGTTTTAATTTTTAAAAGAAAAAAAAAACAAAAAAAACACACACAAACAAAAAATAACAACAAAAAACATTTTCAGAGTCCAGAATCTAACAACTTTTAATGCTGAAATCCTTTTTTATGAGTCAATGTTTAAATTTAGAATCCTTCAATACTAGTTTTTTTTTGTTTGTTTTTTTTAAAATAACATTCGGTGATCCAGCTAAGTTAAGCAACACTGAGCATGGTTAGTACTTAGATGGGTGACCATTTGGGAATACAAAAAACTTGGATGTGCAGGTGGTGTGATAGATAATGACTTGGAATGGAATGTGAAATCAGAGAACTGGATCCTAATTCTGGTTACATTCTCTTACATGTAAATACTCTTGGAAAAGGTACGAATCTATCTCTTCTAATCCTCCCACCCCAGATGCTATAGATTGAATAGCAGGATAGACTGATTCTTATAGCCTTGGTTGGTAACCAGTCTACTGCAGAAAGAAACGGCAGCAAAATGCAAAAAACCTGTTGCCAAGTCTTTACCTGGCCTCCCCACTAAGACAGGATGTGACACATGGTCGTTTTAACGTTGGGAGCGTTATGCATACATATGGGCCAAGGACAAAAAAATTGTTGTTTTGCCCAGCCCCTACGACTATTGTCATGCTGGCATTGTTATTATTCCAACACCTCTCTCTTGCTGCAATGTGGAAGTTGCTGCCACAGGGTTCGAATCCCAAGAGCTGAGCAACTTCGCCCATTTAAAATAAGCAGAAATATAGATCCACTTAAATGCACAGGAGTGATAACAACACTTCAATCCTCTTTGGCTATTGGTTAACTCAGCCAAGAATCAACAAAATTGACACGTATATAGCACATGACTGACCTCAGAGGCTTACCTGTTTTTGTTTTTTTTGTTTGTTTATTTTGAAACATATTGTAATAATTTAAATATCTTTTTTGAAATTTTAATATCAAGATGTTGGGACTTTCCTCAGAACGGCATGTGGCCATGTGGTTAGAGAGCATTTAGCATTCTAACCACAAGAAGACCCAGGTTTGAATCTCACTATGGTTATTTTGTCAATGGGATTTCTGGCTGGATAATGTCAGTCATGCGGAGACGATTCCTACAAAAAGGGTTTTTTACTTTTTGACTGTCGTAATAAAATTAAAACATTGTTTCCACAATTTTCTAACAAATTCTTTTCAATTTTCATGAATAAAATAAATCAGTCAAATGGATAACTCGAAAATATTATCGAAGGAATAGATTTTTTTTAGCATTTTGGATATTGCAACTTAAAAACGTTTTCTCTTGCAAATTACGTTTTACTTTTAAAAAATATTTTATTTTTATTATTCATAAAAAATTTTTCAAAAATAAATTATTTTCATTTTTACAAACAATAGTATTTAAAAAATAAAAATGAAAGGTGACCCAAAAATTTTATTCAAAATCTTCATGGAAAAGTACCACAAAAAGTATAATTTAAAAAAAGTTAAAATTGGCATTGAAAGCACTTAAAAGGAAATTTTTAAGCAATTAGAAATATTTACAAACGAAAATCGAACTAAATAGAAATTTTATGATTATTTTTAAACTCTTGTACAAAAATTAACATTTCTTTTGGTTGGAATATTATTAGGCTCGAAAAGGAATTAGATTTTAAGAAGTGCTACAAACTTGGATTTTAATTTCTAAACTTATAAAGGAAAGACTTGTTGAACTTACTAAGTTTTATTTATTTATTTTTTTTTTTTTTAGAGAGAAAGAGTTTGTGACATGAAACTGAAATGAAAAATGAAATTTTAGCGAAGCCCTCATGTCCGAGCGATCATTTGAGATAATGATTGGATATTGAATTGTAAAGTTTACAGTTTCCCTAAAACATTAAAACACACAAGTAAAAGTTAACATAGGTAAGCATATGTACGAGAGTTAAATATATTTATAAAAGAATAAAGATTAATGAATGTTAAGAGACAGGAGAATGAAGTAATGTTTTTTTCTTTTTCGTCTCACGTGGAAGGAGATGGGATTTATTATTCATTATGTCATACTGGTCAGATCGACCCTGGGACATGGAGTTACTAAAAAATTTAAGTTTCCTAAACAAATTTTATTAGAAATAGTACAGGAGAAACATATGTAGTAAGTAGACAGTTAAATCTAAAAAATATAATTCAACATTTTTATTAGGTAGACAGTAGATAACGGACAATAATAATAATAATAATAAAAATCAACTTTGTTGTCAAGTTTCCATACCGAAACAAATTGAATAACAGAGTTAGCTAATCGACGATTAAATTTATGTGGTTAAAACTTAACTATTTAATGCAGACATTCGTTATTATTATTACATTTTATATTTATCACTATCAAACTAAAAATAATACCCTTTTTTTTTTTTTTTTTTTTAGTTTTTACATTTTTTTTAATCAACAAGAACATTGTTCATACTTCTTTTTTTTTTTTTAAAAATTTGAAAACAAAAAAGCTACAAAATAAAAACAGTACAATAACTCAAAAAAAGAATTAGTACATCTAAAATAAAATTTATGCATTTAAAAATACCTCGTTCAACTTTTGTAGCTGTATACATGTCGATAATGTAAAGAGGCGATCGAACCACGTGGATAAGAACGAAGTAAGTGAAACGTGCTCTAAAGGGAGATAAGTCCCAAACTGTTCTTTTAATTGGCTAATCAGAAAACGTGTGCGCGCTAGAAAACAACAGTCGATTAGGTGGGTATTTATGGTGATTTTCTAAGCGTAGGTTAGATGTGGCACAAGGCCGAAAGTATGGAGCACACAGTGAGGATCGAACTCACTATTCAGCTGCAATTGATCTAGCGAGATAAGCTTCCTAACTGTTACACAACGTCGAAATGTAGTTTCAGGTAGGTATAGGAATTGCGAGAGGACCTATTTTTTTATTTATTGTGGGTCATGGCCTTATGTAGAGGATGCTTTTTAGTTAACTGGCGGAAATAAGCTTGTCGCCAGACTGTTTTAAGAGTGGGGACGGCCTATAAGTTAGAGAAGGAGTGAGTAAAAAAAAAAATTGTACATTATTTATATTTTTACTAAATGAGTTTCCACAGAAGGCTTCACTCGACTCCACTTAGCAACAAGGATGATAGGAACAGAAGGGTTAATGAATGTGCTGGAAATTTTAAAAACTGATAAAAACAGAAATGACAATTACTCACAGGATGTTATATTATTATTAATAATAATAATCGATACAGCACAAAATAAAATATAATGTAACAGAAAAAGTGAAAAGAAATAGTGTTTTCTACTTTTTTGCAGCAAGTCATAAAGTAATAAAAAGACACTTAGGGTCACAGTGCTTGGTAATGTTCAGAAATTAAATCATTTTTATTGCTTAAAAAAACCTATCATAATTTACATATTAAGACAAACAAAAATATCCTTGATAATAATACATTATTAGCCAAAAGCACTCACATCCAAAGATCATTTGGAAAGTTCTTATACACTTTATGTCCTAGAGATCTTTTGTACGCATACAAGAAAATAATACAGTGTAACCCGGATATAAGAGAGTTGTCGGGACCGGAGAAGAAGTCTCTTATATCCGGGTTTCTCTTATATCCGGGTTTGGTCTATTTTATATACATTAACACAGGCTCTAATTTGGGACCAGATAAAATCTCTCTTATATCCGGGTTTCTCTTATATCAGGGTTACACTGTAATAAAAAGCTTAATTGCAATGCCTTGTCAGTCATCTTCAATGAAATCTGTCTTCTCTCTCTCTCTGTATATATATATGTGTGTGTGTGTGTGTAAATTTTCAGATAGAGTATATCTGTAAAAAGGAGGCACAGTGGAGTAATCGATAGTGGCTCAGATTGAGGAATCAGAGAGCTGAGTCCGAATTCCGGTTGGATTCATTACATTCACTCATGTGCTAATACCCTTGGGAATGGTATGAATCCTCTTCCTCTTAGCTATGAGTAAATAACAGGACAGACTAGGTTCTATAGCCTTGGGTGGCAACCAGTCTAAGAGAAGGTAACTCTGAATTCAAAAACCAGTCTGGAGAGGATTGGACTCTGTCACATTATCTTGCCCAAGAAACACCACTTTTACTGCAGCTGCAATACATGTGGTCCCCCTACAAATCTGATGGGTCATGGGATTCACACACATGTGATTGCGATATCACTAAAAGGACAACATAAATAAAGACAAAAGGAAAACTTATCTTAGCTGACAAATTTCATCCTCTGTGGGACATTATCAAGACAAATGTAACTATTTTTTTTCTAACAAATACTTATATACAAGATCATAAATGTTATTGGTTTTTCAAAATTTTTAAATTTAAGAATGCTTATAAATATTTACCAAAAAGGCAGGCAGGCTATGGAAGACACAAAATGACACAATTCAATGTCTAATAAATATGAGTAAATGATGTAATTGAAAAAAATGTTTTTTAAATGCAAATTGCTATTTAAATTATTTTAGTTTGTGATTAATTTATGTGTTATCTATTGTGAATATCATGAGGTCATGTGTTTAAAAGTTTTTGTTTAATTTTTTTAACATTTTTGTAGTCATGTATTTTGGCTTAGGATGGAGGTAATTATTTCAGGAATGGAGATATTGGAAAAAATCTGGGGTGCAGATATTTTGATAAGATTCGATAGCAGCACTCTCGAGAATTTTCCTTCTAAGTAAGTTACTTTCTCTTTTAATAAGTGTGGCATTCTTTAGATTATTTATAACTAATGCATTTGATAAATTGTTGTGTATAAGATCCCTTATGTCTTCATAGATACTTTTTTTTTTATTTCTACAAGTTTTTAAAAAATTTTTGTGAGGTGTGTGTTGTATTGTGGGATCTTTTTGGCATGTTTGTAATATTGTCTGTTATTAGATGGAAAATAAAGTTTGGGTGTTTTTTTAATATGGTATATATGTGGATATATAATTGTGTGGGAAATAGGGTTTATTTCCTATAAAGGTTAAGTAAGAAAAAATGGTGGAGTTAGCTGCTTTTTTTCCCGTTCTTACTATACCTCCCACTTTTGGGGTCAGAGAAGATTGAAAGGTTGGGAAATTTAGTTAAGAACCAAAATGGAAGGAAGGGATCAAAGGTAAAACAGCAACGATTTTTGCTGCTTCCAGTAACAGCCAATTCTGTTCTTGTTTTAATCAATCTAGCTATCAGTTATGGTAATTTACCCACGCATGCATGGACTCTACCATCTATAAATAGGAGCAGGTACTGCCTTTTTCGAGGGGGAAGTTTCCAGCAGTCAGCTCTGACCATCGGACCAAACATTCTTGCTGTAACACTCTCGTTTGTATATGTTTGTATTACTGTTTCTGTTAATATATTTGTTTAACTCAATTCCTCTCTTTGTGTCTTTATTTCTGGTTCTAACAAGGCCACAGCAGTTCTTATGGTGATTTTCAAAGTGGCACAAGGCTGAAAATACGAGGCACCCAGTGAGGATTGAACTCACTTATCAGTAGTAATTGATCTAACGAGACAAGCTTACTAACCATTAACCTATGCCACCACAAGTTCTGTTCTTCTGTATGTACTTTTTTCTTTTATTTTTTTTAACATGAATTGAGTTAATTTACAAATAAATAAATTTTCAAATATGTTATTGTCTGCTGATTTTCTTATCTTAGAGTTCTTTCATAACCATTAACAATCATGATGGAATGCATATCCTGGTTTCAAAATTATCTTTCACTACTGTAATATATACATATATATATATATATATATATGCACAATATATATATATATATATATATATATATATATATATATATATACGTAAAATACATAAAATATATATATATATAAAATATATAAAAATATATATATATATATATATATATATAACATATATATATATATACTATATATATGTTACATATATATATATATATATATATATAAAATATATATATATATCATATACATGAAAAAATAAAATGTAAAATATATATATATATATAAAATATATATGTAAAAAATATATATATGTAAAATATATATATATATACATTATGTATGTAAAATATGTATATATATGTAAAATATATATATATATGTAAAATATATATATATATTATACATATGTAAAATATATATATATGTATGTAGAATATATATATATATATATATATATATATATGAAGAAATATAGTCTTAAGGTGTGCTATATTTATGGGATAAAATGCTCAATACCAGAGATAGAGCATGTGTAAATATAAAAGTGAACATAGAAGTCAACACTTAGAGGTGACAGTCTGTTTCATGCTATATGCAATCGTCAGGCCACGTATGTTGTTATTTTTCTCAGCTATTTATATATATATGGGTCAGTGGTGCATTGTGTGTAGTCTATTATGGTGGTTATTTTACCGGAAGTCGTTTATTTATTTATTTGGGTTAAATTATTTTGCTTGTTTTTATTTATTTTTATGTTTTGTTTCTCATTTTATTTTTATTTTATTTTTTTTTATTTTTTTTTTTAATCTGTGTTTTTATTAATGTTGTAAAAATTTGTTTATATCACTTACTTAATAGTTTTGTTTTGGTTTGAGAATTTAATTAATGCTATTTGTTCGGTTTTGGGGTTGGTTGTTGTAGTTTATTCTAACTATTACTTTGGCAGGAACAGTTTTTAATTTGTGTTTATTTGGGTTGATTATCTTTATTTGTTTTTTCTAACAGTAACTTTATCAGGATTGGTTTGTTTATTTATTTACTTGGATGAATTTAGGTCAATTTATTTTACTTGTATATTTTCTCTTTTCGGTTTTTAAGTAACGTAGTATTTATTCTCCAATACTCATTTCATTTGACCTCAAAATTCCTCTGTAATTGGTCAAATTTCAAAATTTTCTTGGGGGCTTGCAGCCCCCAATCCCCCAGCTCTATAGGCTCATTTCGCTTGTAGTGGTATGTTAATAGAATTGGATGGTTTGTAGATGTCTGTTTATGGCTGTGTAAATAACATGACCACACAATTTATATTTGACATAAAATACCATAAAACATGAAATACAAGAAGGAACAAAAATGGTTTTAAAAACATAACATTTTGTATTTATTTGTGTATATTGATGTACATGCGTAGAAGTTAAAGATCTGTGGGTGTTATGTCCCTTAGACTGTGAATACTTTTATCTGAACTCACAAAAGTTGAATTAATTATAAAGCTGAGAAATGCTGAATAAATTAGCTTTAGAAGAATGATTCAAAGAGAAAAGTTCTTGTTGCTTGTTTGGAAATGATCTGTATGTTTGTAATATAATTTGGAAAAGTTTGTACGTGTGTGTGAATATGCTTTTAATGTCTGACCACTCATGGTCGAGACGAGAATCCTTTTGAGACTACATTTTGCAGCGAGAAGAGAGAGAAAAAGAGAGAAAGCAGCAAGCTTGTGTCTGCTATCTATAGATAATGTAATCATGTGACAGGATCACAGCAAATTGGTGGGAAACTTGACTTTGTCATGCGCTAGAAAAAATATTTGTACATGGGTGGATTACAACACCCACTTGTGTGTTTATTGACCAATTAGAAGCTGATATT